ACAAAAATGGCATTGTGCACACTCTTCACTATATCCATGTACACTGCTTTTTTCTCATAAATTAGAAAAATTTCACGAAAATACATGACAATTTTCTCAATCTTTAAACCCGGTAAAAAAAAAACATATATGAAATTACCTGATCGCGAAAAAGTATTTACCCTTTCCAAATATGAACATTTCCACATATAAAATAAATAAAATATCCAAAAACTTTTACCTCTAAATCATCTATTATATTATAAACGTCACCAACGAATTCATACCGCAATCATTACAAATACTTAGTGTCAAGATATTTAAATTATTTCCATGCACGTTTACTTCAACTGAAATGTATACCAAATTCCTACAAACATAAAATTCACAAAATAACTATCATTTAATTAAAATATAATTAAATTCAAAAACACTACTTAAAATATAAATGAGCACATACATTAAATTAATAAAAATTACCTTACAATCCTAATTACTTTAAACTAAATCATTGCTAATAACAATTTTCCCAATAATAACAAATTCCTTTACTTCCACCTTACATTTAGAACAATGCATAAAAATAATATCCTCAAATAATTAAAAATACTAACTTACCTAATCTTCTTCAGAATCTTGATTACGTGTCCGATAAACTTTTCTTTAGTTACGGCCATGGGATCCAAAAATTCACGAACACTGTTTCACACAACACAGAATAAACCAAATACAAAATTTCCAGATTTTTTCCCGATTTCCCCCCTTTTCCGATTAAAGAACCGTATTTCGTCCATTAATATCACATGACATATCCCATGATCTCTCATTTCCCTCACACAAAATAATGCGTAATCGGAACTGAGTACTGCTCACATTATTACCAAAGTCCCAGGTAGTAACCTTTATCGCCTCCAAAATGTCGCCAAACTACCAGTTACCATATTGTATAGATCAACCAAAAATTATTTTTAATTGCCTAAAAGCAAATCAGAATAGTTTTATGTAAGATATTCAAAGGTCGGAATAGGTCATAGGTCAAAAAAGTTTTGCAGAGCAAAGACTTTTATAGTTATTATCAGTACGGAAGTTTGAAATAAAAATTTGTTTAATAGATTTCTATAACATCTGAAATTTATATCTTATGTTATGGATAGTGAATTCATTATCATAAGTTAATGAGAATTGTGTTTGTTAACTCGGCTAATAATAGAGAAATGAGTAAATTGCTTTCATTGTATAACAGATGTAGGTTTTTAATGATTATTTAATTAATCATTTCATGAATTGCAAATTAGGGGCCCAACTGGTGTTCGTGCTCAAGCCCTTGATATTGATGGAAACCTAGTGGATGATTTTGTTTTTGATTCAGGAGCACAAGAATTTTCTGATAGAGTTTTGCATGTCAGAAATGCTCCATCACCTGCTGCCACCTCATCACTTGCCATAGCTAAAATAATTGTTGATAAAATGGAAGAAAATTTTTGTATAAAGCCATTATGATATCTATTTTAAGCAATATAGTCTTTCTATTCATGGATATGTTTCATTTTCAAAGAATTTCTATGTAAATTAAAAACAAAAAGTCATTGTTTTTATAGATTTGGGAATACTGTAATACATATGAATTAAGTACAGTACACTCCCGATTTTCCGCGGAATTGGGTGGCGCAGCCACTGCAGTTTCCGAAAAAAGCTAAAAACGGGTATTGCAAAAGAGGAAACAGGTATTCCAACTTTGAAAAATCGTTTTATGTACAATAAAACATAAAATAAACAGTAGGAAATGTTTAACTAACGCTTAATATTTTAGTATATCACTCAAAACTACCCTAAAATGCATTTTGCTATTGAAAACAGAAAAGTGCTTTGTACTTACGAGAGGCGTCAAGGATACACAGAAAAATTAATACATATGTACTGTTTTAATACTGTAATGTATTATGTAATTACAAAAGCATAAGCTGTAAAACTACACCTTTTTGAAGAAATCAGTCATTTGTGTTTGCTTCTTGCTTTGGAAGCATTTTCTCTTGATCCGAGATTGCATTTTTTCGTAGCATAAGTTTCTCGGCCAACTCCTGCGTCGTCTTGTTCTTCCAAATAGCTCAGCAGTCCATCGACTTGTTGCAAAGCCGCTTCATGAGTCTTCCACATCTGCACAGTGGGCTTTTCTTCACCTTCACTTCTCTGTCCTTCATTCTCGGTCTGTCCCCTTGCTTTCTTCACAATTTCATCATCTGTCAAGCGTTCGAAGCCAGGTTTGTTGATGTCACACTTAATGTTTTCAGCATCGACGTTCTCACCATACGGAATTGTTTTCACCATATCGGCAAGAGTCGCCGTCGGCGTGCCTACATCTTCATTCACTTCTTCACAACTCAAAGGGGTTAGGTTGTTGTTAGCTTCAACATTAGGCATGAGTTTTCTCCATGATTTTATGAGGGTTGACAGTTTCACTGAATCCCATGCAGATGCAATATCGTAGATGCTGTCCAAGATTGTGTAGTGTTTCCAAAACTCTTTTATATCATAACCTTCTTCAATTTTGGTCATTAGCAGCTTGGTTCAGTATGTTCTGTTCATTGTTGCAATGACTCCTTGGTCCATGGGTTGGATTAGCGCAGTAACGTTTGGGGGAAGAAACTTTCCAAAAATTTGTCCATCAGAAGACTTTAGCACGCTTTTTGCTGGGTGAGAAGGTGCGTTGTCGATCAATAGCACACCTTTTTCAGGCAGGTTTTTTGATTTAAGATGTTTACTAACTTGAAGAACAAAGATTTTTTTCGAACCATTCTTGAAAAATGTTTCGGTTCTTTTTTTTTTTTTTTTTTTTTTGGTTAAAGTAATCAACGGGCAAATTTTCTATCCTTGTGCCTTTGAAAGATCTCAGTTTTTTTTTTTACTTTCCGATGACAAGTCTAAGTATATGTCCACACCGGTAGCATTACTGCAAGACATGATAGTGATCCTTTCCTTGCTGCTTTTATGACCCGCCGCTTTACTTTCACTTTCAAATGCTAAAGTGCGAGTGGGAAGACATTTCCACAAAAGTCCCGATTTGTCGGAATTGTAAATTTGTTCAAAAGATAGCTCTTCTTTTAAAACAAATTCTTCAAATTCATGGTGAAAATTGTCAGATGCTTGTTGGTCACCACTAAGTTTCTCCCCATGAAGTCCAATTTCTCGAATTCCAAGATTAAGACGAGAGAGGGCAGTAGAACGGACACTGCAAGGGTGAGTAAGAAATCAATTACTCATCAGAGGGGAATGCCATAAATAAGCATGATGTTAGCAAATTTAACGTTTCGCTTAGTTTTGTGAATTTGTGAACATTTTTATTTTCTTTGCTTTACGCTTGAAAAAAAAAAAAAAAAACTTTGTGCGGTAGGCGCGGATGATCAGCTCGCGGATAATTGTGAGTCTACTGTACATTATATCTTAATGAATGAACTCATGTGAAGCTATTAGTTTTTTAAAAAGTGACCATGTATTTTAAATTACAAAATAATTAATATCTGATGAATTTTTATGCACTGAAATTATCTGGTATCATAAATGTATTCCAATTTATTATTCTCAAGGTTTTCACAGAATTATGAGATTTTGCGTCATATTTACAAATATTTGTTTAGTATTATGTTTTTATAAATTTAATTAACTTTAAATGAGTTTGTGCTAACCAAATTTTGTATTAGAATTTATTTTCAAATTTTCTGTGAAATATGATTAAATATTTTACAGATGTAAAGATGTCTTTTATTTTTGAGGAATTCAGAAACTGGATAAACAATGTCCAAAATAATTTAAGTAATTTAATCATATAATATAGATAATTTAGATTTGTGCTATCTCTATTCTTAAAATTAAAAATGTCTCTGTTATGGAATTTATGATATTTAAGATATCTATAGGTAAATTAAATTTCTTTCTGTATTCCAACACATTTGCCAACTTAAAAGTTAACAAATGTAAATTTGGATTAGTTATACTTTTCTGATTATACTTTTAATCAATATAGCAAATGCTTTATAAGTTTTTAAGAGCAATGAATCTTTTTTTTTTTTTTTTTTTTTTTAAATAGATAATGCCTGAAAATAAAGATAAATCTGTGCTATATATATGTGTGTATCAATTGTGAACACAGTCTAATTATCACAATGACTGATGTGAGATTTAAAATATAAATTGTCTTCATTGCTTTGTATAAGACTTATTTAGTCCGAATTGAAAATATGCTGGTTTTCTTAATACTCTGGTTTTGTTTTTTGTGCATTTTGTAGCTGAAAAAGACACTTCAAAGACTTTCAATTTATTATCTTAAATTTATAAAAATGTTCTAATATAGAATAAAATGTAATAACAAATAAAATCTGTTGTACTATATATAAGAAAAAAAATCTCATGAGGGATGGATTTATTTAAGATTATGTGAATTGAATTCTTTTTAAATATACCCATAATAATTGTTAAGTTTTAAATAAAAAAAATGATATTTCATTACTGAATTCAATATTCATTGGGTCATTTTATAATTCTAAACTGATATATTTATTGAATGGTAAAGAGACTTAAGCTTTAATCTGCTCTTTAAGAAAAGATACTGAAAGTGAATAAAAATAAGAAATTTGATGATATTAATGATGTTCAGCACATATAAAGTAGATACTTATTTACTTATTTGTGTTTTGAAATTTGAGTGTTTTTTTAATAAAAATTATATCTTTAAAATTTAAATGAAAAATATATTATTTTTTAATATTTGCTTTTTTAAATTATAACACCTGTGATTTACTTTAAAAAATACTTAAAATAAATAATTCTCTAAATTATTGTTCTAGCACTGCTCTAAATGCCAAAAAGTCATTACTCAAAATAATTTTGTAAAATTAAAACAAATGTCAGATTCATTTTCATTTGTAAAAAACAACTACAGGCAAAATTATAACAGTTTTTTTTTTTTTTTTTTTTTTTTTATAAAATCAATAGTTTAGAGGGAAAATGATAGAAGTAGCTTGCTTTAGGGAGAGTATGTCAACCTTTTTTTAAAAAAATTTTTTATCTGGTCTTGATAAATGGACTATTGATGGTCATGAAAGTAATAGCAATGTCAAGTTGAATTTCTCCTAATTTTAGAATATCTGATTTGCATTTTATGGTATCTGTGCTATTCATTATAATAAAATAACATTATTCATTTTAGAAGCTCTAAATGTATAGGTTATAAAGTTTCAAAGCAAATGGTATTAAACTGCTATAATTTACTGCTATTATTACATACTTTAAAAATAAATAACTGCTATTATTTATTTTTAAAGTATGTATTATAAATAAAATTTACACTGATATTGCATTTAGGGCAGTTTTGTTCAAATTAAGAGAAATTAATTGTATATCAAAACATTCTCGGTTAAATGAAAACCTATATGGGCACTTTTGTACAAAAAAGTTAAATAATTTTTTAGTAGTAAATATTTACCGTCAGAGTTAAATATATCTTCACTTTTTTTCTCTACTGCTTTTTACTTTTCCTTTTCAATTATTTTGTAAAATACTGGAAATGTTTAATAATGCTCTCATTGGCTAATAGGGAAACAGGAATTGTAAATTGCACAAAATAATGTTTAAGGATTGACATTTATTCTATCTTACTTTACATATTGCCATCTTGTTTAACTCAATATGGCATTTCAGTGCTTTTAATTATTTTCTACTTTCCTACATTATCATAGCAAATCACAAAAGCCATCCACTTCCAATATTCATCAGGCTCCCAAAAATGAGCTGTTCTATCATATCCTATATATTTTGTGAAATATTTTATAATACTTGGTGAGCAAAGTAACTTCTTGATGAAGTTCATGGTATAAGGTACCTTTTGGTTGATGGGACAACAGTCTTAACTGTGAGATAATGTGCCAAATGTGGTAACCTGTTCTCTATACGATAAGCTATGCATAATGAGTTACACATGACAATGTATATTTCACATCACGAGTAGCTATGTAGTGTTGTAATTGCAAATGAGCAGGAAGAATAGTTGTTAGTTGCTTTTTTGTTGAAGTTCTGTTTTTCCATCCTTTTTGTTTCAAGAAGCAAAAGAAGAAAATTAATTGTGTGATTTAGCAGCTGATTTTAGCAGCTCAAAATCAGATTTAAACTTTTCTAAGACAAAGGGATCATCCATACTTTATTCCAAAACCAATAAATGAAATTATATTGCACACTTATCAAAATACCAAAATAATACTGCAGCTAAAGATTGTTTCACGGGAAGAAAGGCTACAAAGCAGTTGCTAGTTAGTAGTTTCATGCATTCTTTTCCTGAGAGCTATTTTGTTTTACTTCTGATATCAAGAACTTGTGTTGATAGAATTTTGTTGATGGCAACTTATAACTGTTGATGGGAATAATAATATGCATTTGTGAACTTCTCTTTCTCTCTCTGTCTTCATATATTTATATAGTCTTTTCCTGAGGTCTCCATTCCTGTCCCTAAGTGCTAAATCAGCAGCCAAGTGGTAAAATTTCTTAACAATAATTTGACCTGGACTTGAATCCCAGGAAATGGCCTGGTTGCTTGGAAATTTTCATAGATTTTCTCATTTATAACATAATTTACAAGGCAGTTTCCCACAAGGGCATCCTTCCTGTTCAGCAGAGGATAGCCATCCAGAACTGTCTATTATACTAACTTCTGCATATGAAGTGATGTCATTTTTCTTTCATATTGGCGGCCCACCAGCGGCCGAGTGGTAAAATCGCTGAACACTGGTAGTTTGGTCCGAGGTTCGAATCCCTCAAACGGGTTGGCTGCATGGGTGTTTTCTTGGTTTTCCCCAAGTGTAACGTGTATACGAGCCAGTTTGCCTTAAAAAGGTTTCTACGAAGGCATCCCTCTTCCTAGGCAGATAGCCCTAGTTTGCTTTGCCGTATTCTCAATACACCTCCACCTTTCATATTGGCACTTCTGTTGATGGAGTACTAGACAGACCATTTTCATAAAATCATTTGAGCATAGAAGTGTGATTCATACAGATGTTTCTAGAATGAAGTGTATCAGTATTAAAATGCTTCAGAGTAATATTTAAAAAAATTAAGTTTTTTAGAGACTTTTCACAATGAACCATTTCAGTTTGTAATTTTTTATTCAGTGCTGAATTTGGGTACCTAAATTTCAACAGCATGAACTGTGGTAAGTAAGAACTGAGAAATAGAATGAAAATATGTTAGTGCCAATTTGTCAATAAAATATATCTGAATGAATCATAATGAATGATGCAGTACGTTTGAAAGTTCTGAACTTCGTAAACAACTTAGATATATAAAAAGTGTTAAATAAGTCTTCAAATGTTCATAAAATGGTACTAACTTCACTTTCAATTTTGTGTTAATTCATAGGAAAAAGTGAATTTAATTTTGGAATACTGGTTACTTAAATAAATTAGAATGCTGATTTTTCATTTGTTTTATTTATATTATTCAATATATATTTTCTGTAGCTATTTTCTACTTAACTGAGTAAAGAAGCTAGCTATTTATAGTCAATTCCAAAAGCCTGGATTTTAAGTTTGTAATTTTGGTAAAAACTGTTGGATTTTTAAATAATATTTATTAACAGATGTATTCGAATATTTTAAGATGTTTTTTAATGCCTTAGTGATGGTTCATTTTAGTTTTATTTGAAGAGTATCAACATTGTTATCACTGAAGTTCATTTACTGTGAGTGAGTGAAGATCTCTGTCCATGAGTTTAAATGGCTTATAACATGTTCCTATCAGCTTTGTTGCCAAACTTTTTGCTCCATGGTACAACCATCTAATTTTGGAATCACAGATCATTGGATTATCTGAAAGGGAGAAAAATGGTGAGATTACTAATAATGAAGATTATATAATTAAAATTATTTATTTATTTTTAATCAAAAAAGGAATGAAAGAATTATTTCACAATAATAGTATAGGATTAGAAATGGCATGTTAAGTGAAACAGAAATTTTTCTCAATACTGAATAATATAACATAAAGAATGTTGAGTATGTATATAATTATATTTCAAAAGCCCTTTAAATGATATTTTCTTTCAACAAATATGCAAGTTTTTATTTATAATTTTCATAAAATTTCCTATATAATATAGAAAAAAAAATAAGCATTAATTAAAAAGTACATGCAATGTACATAACCTCTAATTGAGTGTTTCCCAGTTTAATTTTATTTTGGAAATTTGAATGAAATTAGGAAATCACTATTATAAATTTTATTCTTAATAGATAAAGAAAATTTTACGAGAGCATTTTTAAGACTTTTTTTATTGTGTAATGTAATTAGCATATAAAATTATGCAAATGAATTTGAAGCAGAAACATATTTAGTGTTCAAAGATCATTTCTCAGTTTTAATAACTTATTTCTTAAAAATGAATATTTTTACTCTTTTATGTTTATTATTATAACATCTTTTATGTTATACTAATAAACATAATAGAGTAAAAATATTAATTTTTTCTGTATTCATGTCTGCATCATAAATTCATCATTATTTTTTTTTTTTTTTTTTTTTTATTTTTGAGTCAACCTATATTGAATTATTTAGGTTTTCATTTTATGCCTTGGTAATTGCATATGGCTTTTGTGATAATGGGAATCCTATTACATTTGAAATCATTTTTTAATTCAAGTGACATGCAATCTTAGGATATTTTTATTTAGATTTGAACTAAATGCCTTTATGGAGTATATAAACTCTTTCTTTAGTGTAATCTGATAACTTCTGAAGAATCTGAAAAAATCCCAAGAGTTTATTCAAGTTTTTAAAAGTAAAAAAGGAATTTCAGTCGGACCTTAGTATGTAGATTTCAGTTTAACACTGGAAACAATTTTAAGATTTCTGGTCAAACCTACTATGGCTTAGAAATTAAGAATATCGAAAGTAAAATCTTATGTTTAAAATGAGCTGTTCAAAAGAGTAGAAAAAGAATTTTTTACAATATTATTTCATCACAAATTAACGTCACGTGGAGGTCTTTGAATTTATTTAATTTTAAAATAGGAATTTAATTATTTAAGATGTAGCTGTTTATTTCACCAGATGGTTAGCTCACAGAGCTTGCAGTATTTCTATCAAGGTGCAATACTTTCTATGTTGCCAAGATATGAAATTTTCGAATAATTTAATACCTTCAACTCACTCCTGTAAATATCGCTGCAAATCTCTAAATTGCTTTCCACAAGACTAAAGTTCTTTGAAATAACATTTGAAACACACTGCGTAATGGAGCAGAATAAAAAGGTGAGAGAGCAGAAACTTTGAACTTTTTATGCAGAGAGTAATGCCGAATTAAAATTTTATATAGTATACATGGTATTAAAAAAGTTCCTTTGATATGTGAATAAAAAGAAATTCAATTTCTTAGAAACATTTAGTAAAATTATGTTGTAATTCACTACTTACAGTCAATGTTTAATATCTCCAGATGGCACCAAACTGGCCTCCATATTGATTCATCAAATGTAGAAAATTCGTTCAGCTCCAAGTTAACCCTTTTCAAATTTGGCATTCGATGGAATATATTTTCTGGTAAACTCTCAAGTTTATTGCGCCTAAAAACATAATATTTTTATATTATTATTTGCTGTAAGAGATGAAGGGTTGTAGTAAAAAATGTTGCTGCACTATTTTAGTTATTTTAAATATGTTAGCTCTTTGTTTAAAAATATTTTTTGAATAATAATCTTCCTTGGTTTTGGTTACATTAAAATTTTTCCGTGATTATAATATGAATCGATGTTATTCTTTTCTTTTAAAGAGAACATTTTCTTATGATGTAGATGTTAAGTGTGTGTGCATATATATGTATATATATAAAGAATTAAATACAAAGTAAAAACAATTAAAAACCTAATAGTTTTAATGATGGAAAATAAAATAAGAAAAAAAATAAAAAAAAAAAAAAGAAGAAGAAGCACAATGGCAAACCTCAAGAAATACAGAGAGGGAAAACATGGCAAAAACAAAAATGAAAAATCTGATGGGTACACCACATCACTTCCTTGTATGGAATATTAAATTATACACTTTTTTTTTTTTTTTTTTTTTGCTGTATTTCATTTAAACTTATTTCCTCGAATTTCATTAGAGATATATTTCTCATTCAATTCATTCAGTTCTCTCTTCGCTGCAAGGCAAAAATACACGAAACCTCAAAATATCTTTATTAAAAATGTAAAACACCAAATACAGTTAAAACAATTAAAAAATAATTTTTACAATTAAAATTAGAGTTTCTACGCAGAAACAAGCAGTTCGGATAGCGGACAAGAAGGCAGATTTTTCTGTGCACAAAACTTAAAGTTTACTTTTGGTCCCATTCGGCAAATAGACGCTGAAGATGCAGAAAATGACAAATGTGGCTGCTATGGTTAAAAAAAAAAAAAAAAATATGAGGCTTGGCCGCGCTTAAAAAATTTTTTAATTGTTGATAATTTTAAAACTATTCCATGCAGATTAACTAAAAGCATAAAAACCTTAACCGGAAGATAAGAACAACATAATTCAATCATTTTCAAAACAAAAAATGCACAATTTACCAGCATTTAAGAATAAAATAACTGAGCTGAGTAAGAGTGAGGCATATATATGGTGCAGTTGATGGTAACCAAAAAGGGAGCTGCACAACTGCAATATATAGCAGTCCTATATACAAAGTCTACTCGTTTTTGAGTTATGCGAGATGCATACATACGTACGTACAGACGTCATGGAAAAAAATCTCTTCTGAATCCATTTTAAATCTTTTTGCAACCCGTTTTGGGAAAATGAGTCTTTTATTCTATTCTTACGCACAGATGTCATGCAAAAACATCGCTAAATTGAATTCGATAGCTGTCAAAATGGATATTTTTGTGGAAATATGATACCCGAAAATTTTTGCTATTACAATACTTCCTTAATTTTGTACGAGGAAGTAAAAATGATTTACATCATCATCAGATGGTTGATGCAACAGAAGAAGTAAATAAATTAAAATAGCCTCTCAGCTTAGTTATTAATTAAAATATTAAACGATAACAAATTGCCATACAACGTTATCAAAAAACAACTAATTAAAATACACTTGTCAATCTAAAAGTTATTTGCACCACCCAACTCTTGTTTTTCTAAGCTGTCCCTCAGCCAATATGGCGGTATAGTTTGGATGTAATTAACCCAGTTGAATTAGGCAGTCATGTCAAATTCTAACATGGGTTATAATTTACATTTGATTGTATCATAGTTTTCTATCTCTTTTATTAACAAAACTGGCCTATTTCAGCTTCCAAGTCCCAAGAAAGTCCACTTGAGCAAGCTCTATATTTTTAAACATTTGACAGTTTCTTTCGTTTTCTACCTTTATTCTCTTTTAGGTTAGCTATAATTTATAACATTTTTTCTAAATTCCAATTTTACATTGTGTAAGATTTCTCATAGTTTACTTGACACTGCTCTTACTATATAATTTTTAGCTCAGAAGGGCTATTAATTTCAAAACGGCATTTTGGGTCGATTAACTTTTCAAACTGTTGCCAACAAGCATTATCGCCATGTATTATATTTAAAGAAACTAAATAATGAAGAATCTGCATGATGTTTATCCCAGTGTGAAAAACAACGGAACCTAGAGCCATCAAATTTTGAATAAGGCATCTTCCAACCGAACATGGACACTTGGAAACCCGAATTTTGAACTCCGAATTTGTTTTATTATCTATTTCAAATTTTGTAAAACTTTAACGAATTTTTTATTAACAAACTCAAGGATTTCAAAGCAAGCCATGGGAACACTGTACGGAAAAATTAGTAACAAACGGCAACCAAAAAGCGACCAACGGCAACATTGTACGAAAAACATTTTTATCTCCAGCGCTCAAGACTGTCTATCAGAAATTCTAAAAATATGTTGTTTTGCTGTTTTTAAATATTTTGCGATATTGCTGTTGAAATGAATTTTATGTGTTTTAAGTGTGAAGAACGTGATATTTAATAAATAAAGGTAACACCAAAAAACGTTTAAAAAACGTCCTTTTGAGAGTAATATAAAATCTGAAAGCTTTCAGATTTTCTTTTTAGCCAAGAAGGGCTATTAATAGCGTTTGGCATTTTGCGTTGATTCACGATAAATGTCTTTTACTTTTCGAACTGCTGCCACCAAATATTACAGCCCTGTATTATATTTAAAGAAATTAAATAATGAAGAATCTGCATAAATGTATGTATGTTTCTTGCACTGTTATAAAGCAAAGGTACCTAGAGCTATCAAATTTTGAATGACGTAATCTTCCACCGAATATGGGCATCTGGAGGTCCTAATTTGTTTTATTACCGATTTCATATTTTGTAACACTTCAACGAATTTTTTATTGACAAACTCAATGATTTCAAAGCGAGCAATAGCAAAACTGTACGGGGGTAGGAACGTATTTGCCACCCCCCCCCCAAAAAAAAATCGCCAGCGCGACTGTGTATCGGAAATTCTGAAGATAAGCTCATTTTAAAATTATTTTGCGATATTGTTGTTGAATAGAATTTTACGGTTTAAGTGCAAAGAACGTTAATAAATGAAAGTAACACACAAAAGATTAAAAAGAGTCCCTTTGGCCGTAATGTAAAATCTGAAGGCTTTCAGATTTTTTTAAACTTACTTTTTCTTCAATTTTTAATTATCCCAATTATATTTTATTTAGCCCAGAAGGGCTTTTATTCTCGGAACGGCATTTTGCTTCGAATCATTCTAAAAGTCTGAATCACCTTTCAAAATGTTGCCACCAAATATTATCGCATTATATCACATATAAAGAAATTAAATAATAAAGAATCTGCATGAATGTTTGTATGTTTTTTTGCATTGTGATAAAACGGCCGAAGGTAGAGTCATCAAATTTTGAAGTACGTAATCCTACATCGAACAAGTACACCTGGAAGGCTAAATTTTGAAATTTCGAATTTGTTTTATTATCTATTTCATATTTTGTAAACCTTTAACGAATTTTAGTTGAACAAACTCAACGATTTCAAAGAAAGTAATGGCAACACTGTACGGAAAAAATATTTTTATTTCCAACGCGAAGACTGTCTATGACAAATTCTAAACTATGCTGTGATATTTAATAAATAAAGGTAACACACGAAACTTCAAAAGACGCCCGTTTGAGCATAATATAAAATCTGAAAACTTTCAGATTAAACGTTTTTTTTTTTTTTTTTTTTTTTTTTTTTTTTACTTTTTTTCAAAAAACTAATCACGATGCATTAGAATTAAAAGAATTGTTTAATTCCCTTTGATTTTTCCTTTCGTTGAACTGAAGTGAATTAATACTTCTGGTGAATTGAAATTGAGATTCATTTTCCAACGAATTAATACTTCATTTGTATTCAGACTGGCGGTTTTTGGATTCATAAACCAGGTAATTGGATGTTCTTTTTCAAATTATTCATTTTTACTTCAGCAAAGAATTTTCCTAATTATTTTTACTGAGTTTTATTAGTTTTAAAAACTCAAAGTTTAAATAAAAATTCTTCATTTTAAGAAATACTTATCTAATAAACAATAAATAAAAATATAAGAAGTTCTTATAAAATAAGCTCCTATTTAAAATCAGTAAAATCATAAATGAGGTAAAAGGAGAAATATCATTGAGATATTAAATTATTCTCTTTACAGAATTCATCTACATTTTTGTACCACGAATAGTGAAAGCGTGAGGCGCCCTTGATAAATTTACTATAAATATTGTGGTTTACAGTCCTGACAGTCGATCATTTGATAAAAAAATTTAAGTCTCAATGTTATCGGTCAACTTTTTCAGTTTAAAAATAATTTTTCAATAATAACTAATCATTATTTTACTTCCAATAATTCTGTTACGTCAAATGATCGTGCAAATCGAGCAATTTTGTCAAAAAATTAGAAATATCGTTGAAATATAATACAAACTTCATTTAAAAGATTTTTTTTCTGCTCTGACCAGCGGTGTAAATAGTTAAATTTTAAGAGTTTTAATTTGTTAAATAAAGGTATATGCGAAAAGACTTTTCAAAATTTAATTCTGAAAATTCTAAACCAGATTTTGTAAAAATTTGCTGCACAATATTTTATTGTCATAAAAAATGAGTGTATGTGCAAACTTTCAGCTGAATAGCTTATCAGGGAATAGTTTAAAAACAGATGCGAATTTTTTTTTTCATTGTTGTTGCAAACACAATGAATAATAGTGAGTTAAATAAAAATTTATAAAAACGACCGTATATTTAAAAAAAAAATTCTAGCAAGTTCCCTAATTAATATTTTTTTATCAAGAGGATGAAGAATTTTTTCCTTAATCTTCGAAAATTTCAAACATTTATAACAGATGTCTGGATGTTAAATTTTTAAAAGTTTCATAAAAGAATGCACTGTTACGTCGAATGATAATAACCGCGTTCACATTAAGCGGAGGGCACTGTAATGTGACCTTAATGTCACCACTACAAAGAAACTAAAGAATCGATTCTGTTTTATATTGTAGCATAATTTTTTCCCCTAAAATATAGAAAATCAGTATCTTTTTATCATTTTTGTTTTAAAAGAAGACGAAGAGCTTGTTTTATAATTTGGGAAAATTTCAAAACCTTGTAACCTTTACATTTTTAAATGCTGAAATTTTAAAATTATTGACGTCAAATAACAGGGAAGAAAAGAAAAGCGTTTTTAAAAATTCTAAAAAATGTTGAAAATTTCATACAAATCTTATTTAAAAGGGTTTTTTTTTTTTTTTTTTTTTTTTTTCCATCTATTTGATGGTGGAAACAGTAAATTTATAAAATTTTTAGTTTGTTCGTTAAACGATGATATGCGAGAAAAATCGTTTCAGCATTAAATTTTAAAAAAAAATCTAAATCGAATTTGAAAAAAAATCTTTTCACCATATCATATTGTCATATGGAAACTGTATGTGTACTAAATTTGAGATCGATAGCTTATCAGGAAGTAGTGTTAAAGAATCAGTAAAAACTTCTTTCTAACAGTTAGCGACTAACTTCATGAGTTAAATAAATACTAAAAACATCTCATTCGTTAGCTGAGTAAAGTTTCCATAACAAATTTAAATACGGTACATTTTTTTTATTAATGCAGACTGCACATGCAAATTTAATCTACGTAAATGTACTTGACTAGTCTTGTTTTCCTATTTCAATGATATTTTTGTTTTCGAAGTTATTATGCATTATTAACAATCCAGGTACTTTGCAAGCGATAAAGTCGCCAACAACTGATGCCAAACGGAATGTTTTCGCTGGTAACCTTTTACGCCTTATTTTCAAAACAAGTCACAGCCATTTCCTATTAGATTGATTGTTTCTTACTTTACTGGTATACAATTACATAGAATTTTTACCAAATAGTTCAATTTTATGCCCTAAGGCCAATTAGGATGGTATCACGCCGTTCAACCGTGCGTGGTAATTAAATCAATTAGGATGCAGTCACACTGCTCATCCGAAGCCGAAAATATAGAAAAGGCAAAGTCAAGGGTTAAACTCATCCATTCTAATAAGAATGCACTAGCGAATTAAAACACTGCGGTCTTACATAATTTCTGATTAAGCTATTCTTACGAATTGAAATAATTCTTTCATTTAAACTTGTATTCCAAATTAAGATTTAACTTGAAATTAATGCAGATAATTACTGAGAGAATTAGATTTTTGTAGCGTAGTTTACGTGAGATGAGATCGCTTGGGATCACGTGATATGAACCGACGAATCAGGATGTTGAGCCATAAAAGCATAGTAAATTCTTAAATTTATTTTCTTTATTTATTGGCTTTTTAAAAAATTTTAAACGATTTTAAAATGTTTATGCCTTCAAAATAAAAAAATCTTAAAAACTAACATTTGTTAACATTTTTTATGTATATACTGTATGTTGTAGCCATAAAGTCTGCTTGGCGAGATTTGCGCCGGCGAAACGGAAAAGTACCACAATCCATTATTAATTAATGCAAAAAAAGGGGGCGGATGATTTAAAAATCTGCGCAGCTGGTTACGTCATAGCTTGGAATTTAGTAACCTGATTAGTTGTTGAAAGAACTGCAATATTTATATCTCTGAAATAAACCGTGATGCTTTAACTTTAGAGAATCTTTAGAGTTTCTTCCTTTAAACATGCAGAACACCTCGCCATGTCACTCTCGGGACAATTCCCTTCGCCTTACGCTATTAAATAAATGCACATTGCTGTTAAGAATTCCCAGGCTCTCAGCCTTTGTCAACCTACAGTAATCTTCATCATTTTACTTATTTACCGACTTTTGCATTTCAAACTTAGCTAGATTTCTCCCATATAGCATTTTTACGTGTTATGCTAGTTAGGAAAAGGACCTTCTCTTCTATAGTGAACTGGACACTGGATAAAGCTGCAAAGCCTAAATTACCTGCATAAGTGACTCCCAGTTCACCTGACTGTGTATCTTCGAGAAACAGTTGAGGGAAGAACTGAAGTCCCTTATGGAGTTGGATTTTATTTTATGTCCCATTTGATGCTAAATAAATTTGAAAGTATTCAGTCATGTGTAATTTGGATTACTGAACTTTTCAATCAATTTAATTTGAGATCCTTTTTTAAAAGTTTTTAGATTTAAAGCTTCAGTTACATCTTTGGCATAAAAATCTTTTTAAGGAATATTTGTTTTGTTTGATTGTTTCGTTAGGTTAAGAGATGAATATCTCGGTTATGAAAATTTGCAGCATAATAAAATAGAAAAATGCATACGTAATAATTTACTGATGTGACATAAAAGTCCATATATATAAATTATATATAAATCATCATTTCTCCCCGTTTCAATAAATATAAATAGAAGTTTAGTCCTTTGTACTCGAAATGTAACTCTCATTTGCTACACAGTGTATTTCCTCGAGTTCAAAGGCTTAAACTGAGTAATTAAGTATTAGAAATTAGAAATACTTAACTCTAAATTTATTTCCTGGAGAAGTAAAGCTGGCTGTGGCAAAGCTGATCGTGCTAGATACGTGATTGAATTATCAGAGAGATCTAACATTTCCAAATTCTTTAGAACTTCAAATGCTTTGTAGCCAACGATACTGATTTGTCCTTTTACAAATCGTAACTTCCTCAGGCTTGTTGGTCCACGTTCGAACCAATGATTATTCACCACTGCTATGTAATTCCCTTCAAGGTCTAAAGTTTTCAGTTTCTTAAGATTTTCCATCGAGACGTAAGCAAAAGGTCTTGCTGCTGTGAAAGTGTCCACGATAGATATAGACTCTAGTGATGTTTCCAAGCCTTGAAATTGCCTTTCTCCTAAGTTAGCTATTCTCGTGAAGTTGGATTTTAAGATTTTCAAATGCTTAATAGTAACATTTTCGAAAATATCAGATGGAAGATAGTCGAAGTACGAGTTTTCAATCACAAACGAGGATAGATGACGTCCATGATATCCTTTAATTGAGTTTCTGAGTTCTTTTAATGAATTGATATGCAAACAATGGGAGGCAATCGCTTTTCCCTTTTCACTGCAATAACATGGATAGACTCCTTCTCGGGAAGGACAATTTTCACTAAGCACATAATGGAAAAAGAGGAATGAGACAACCGATTTCCAAAAATCAGTTTTGTTAAAGCATGTGTGATCCAATGCTTTGAAATCTTATTAAATATTATCACACACAAATGGTGAAACGCAACAAGATAACGATAATAAATTCCTTGGGAAACTTACATTTGTATTACGTTGGAGTAAAATATTTCAGATAAGATCTGAGAAAAATCTGTTCATGAAAAGAAAAAAAAATATGTTTCATAATTTGAATCAAAAAGCCACTTCTCACCCTCCTTATGGTTTCAAGTATTACCTCAGTTTACATAAATTTCTGTGATTTTTACTCCTTATTTTCACTGTCTCGGTTTGGAATATATGAAACATATGACAAATTATCCCTTATTTATTGACAGATTTTTTTTTTTTTCGATTTAAAGATAAGTCTTGTAGGAATATTCTATAAACCCCCAGACAGTTCCTAAGAAGTATGGTACATTATTAACTTGCTATTTTCAAAATTTCCATAAAAAAAACTGAGTTTACGAATTTGAAAATTAGATTTTAAAAGTTAAATTTAAAAGTTAAAATTAAGACTCTGAAATTATTGAAAAATCGAAACTGTGTAAATCGTATAAAGCTCGTATAAAAGTCATCTCTTCTAATTAAATGAAACAATATATGTATGCTTGACATGGATAAGATAAAACTCTTTTTAACGCGTTGGATAATGTTGACAGAACAATGGCCACTATTGCTATGAAAATTAAAATGCAGCAGAGGAGCGGTAAAAAAAAAAAAAAAAAAAAAAAAAAAAAAAAAAAAAAAAAATTACAGTAATGCTTATTGATTAAAATATAAAAGAATTTGATATTTGATAACTAGTAAATAGCATTTTGTAATACCTGCCATGTTTAAAATTGAATTGAGACATATCCTTTCTTTTCTTTACCAACAATTTCCTTCATTCTCTCGACCTGCAACTGATTTACAACAATGTAACAAGCCTAGAGTGCCAGATCAAGCATCTGTGTGTCGTACACAAACAAAAACTGTTTTTTCAGTTTAGATGTGTTTATAGTTGGTCTTACGATTTGTGTTTTAAGGTGATGTTGAAACCAAATTAGGCGAGTTCTGTTGAAAAGTGATCTTCGTAGTGGGGAAAATTTAAATTAATCTAGGTGACTTTTGTTTAAAGTTTTTTTTAATTTTCTGAAACGATTAAATTTATTGTTTATTAATTTTATCATCAGAAATGTCTTACGGAAGGAAGCATTTGAGTGATTATCCATAAAAAAATGGCCCAAATTGAACAAGAAGCTATTAATAAATCCAGAAAACTTGACTCATTCTTGCTATCAGTTAAACCTTATGGTGATAAACAAAAATGAATATACATAGTATGAATTTGAATCAGGTGTGGATGGGATTAACCTAACCGGGGCCCGGGCAACTTGGAAAAGGGTGCTGGCACATTTTCCAAAGTTACCTATTGTTCGCCAAGGCTCATGGGTGCTTATGCACAAAGGTGCAGGTGCAGATATGAAGTTCAGGATCAAAACTGCCGGGATACCCTTCTGTAGGTCTTAATCTAGGCGAATATTTACCAACTGAGGTGTCGGTATCTTTTTAAGTTTACCGCGGATTGCCAGGACAAAAGGATGGCCTGATATAAATGTGCTGGCACTCTTATGAAGTTCGATATCATGAAAAAAGCAGCTCTCCTTAAAGCTGTCGGTAATACACATGAAGATCTTTTACTCTTGACGAAAAGTTGCCTACTTGTATAAAGGTGCCATTCTTATAACACTTTTATGAAATCATCCGGGTAGTAGGATGTGAAAATTCCTTGCTTTTTTGCAATTGATTTGGTGGTTTTGACAGCTATTGAGTACACGACACGCACATCTCTAGTTCGGATCGTCGGTAATTTGAACGCAGATGGGTACATTTCTGACACCTTACGTCCAGGAATTGCCATTGCTCGCTTTGAAATCGTTGAGTTTGTTCATCAAAAATTTGTTAAAGTTTTTACAAAATATGAAACAGATAATAAAATAAATTCAAAATTCTAGTTGCTCATGTTTGGGTGGAGGATTACGTTATTTAAGATTTGATGGCTGTACTGTAGGTACAGTCGTTTTGATACAGTATGAGAAACATACACACGTTCATGCATATTCTTCATTATTTAATTTCTTTAAATATAATACAGGGCGGTAATATTTGGTAGCAACAATTTAAAAATGTGATTCTCCGTTTATAGTGAAACGACGCAAAATGGCTTTTTGAGACTAATAACCCGCCTGGACTAACGCTTCTTTGGTCTAATAAATTAAAATAATGATTATTATAAAACAAAGTGCAATAAATAATTTATTTAGATTTTTCTGTTATTTCAGAAACAAAAATTGAAAGCGTTATCAGACTTTGCAGAATTCTTCAAGTGGTGTTCCTCTCTTTGCTGCGGGAGCTTGACACTTAGCAGAAACAGCTTCAATGTTAATCTGACAAACCCAGAAGATATCTGCATTACAGTTTATTGGATTGGCTATTGAAGAGAAAAAACAGTAATTAAAAAATGAAGCAACAATCAATTTTGTTTGCATATTGAAATAATTTAGAAAAGTATTTACTGAAATAATTCAGAATAGTATTATGTGAAATGAAGGATGGGAAATTACTCAAATGTTCTAGCCACCCCAGAAGTGACATTACTGAATATAACGATATAAATGCGAAAAGAAAAAAGAACCCTGAACTCTGTAGGAACGGAATTCCTACTCTGACGGAAGGATAGAATGAAGGGGAATCAGAAGTCTACTCTTTAAAACTGAGTAGAATTCTGTAGGAACAGAGCTCAGAGAAAAACAGAAATATTGCTACATGTTTGAAGCAAATGTAGTTTGGAACTAGTAAATATTGCAGAGAGTAATAAATAGCATATTAAATTCAAAACGGCATTTTTATATTTCAAATAAGATTTACATTTTCGAGATCATATCATTCGCCAAGATGGCGCTGAACCTGCAGAACAAATTCAAGCATGGGCGATAGTATTCAAGAATAATCACGAGATTATCATGATAAATTTGGAGAGATGTGATTTTAAGACAACATTTTAGTGAGCGATTTTGGAAAAGTAGAGAAAACCGTTTATTTGCAAAGGGAAACATTCAGTAAAAGAAACCTCCTAGAAGGTTTGGCAGTAGTAACCAAGATTACTATACTACAAAGTTTACTCATATGTGACATCACTGACTCCTAGTGTGCTCAAAAGCATCTACTACTTTTATGTTTGTTTGTTTTTTTCCATTCATGTAAATAAGTGATGTCAACATCGGGAAGAGCCTAGCCTTTTCTGCCGATCGTTACTATCCTATCGATCGTAAGGATAAAGTAAAAACGGCGAGCAGTTTGAGGTACTTTTGCATATTGTTCTTCAGTTTAAAGAACTGGTTACCCAAAGGTAGTGTCCCATTTTCTGTAACAAAGAACTGGTTATCCAAAGGTAGTGTCGCATTTTCTGTCACAAAGAACTGGTTATCCAAAGGTAGTGTCCCATTTTCTGTAACAAAGAACTGGTTATCCAAAGGTAGTGTCCCATTTTCTGTCACAAAGAACTGGTTATCCAAAGGTAGTGTTCCATTTTCTGTCACAAAGAACTGGTTATCCAAAGGTAGTGTCCCATTTTCTGTAACAAAGAACTGGTTACCCAAAAGTAGTGTCCCATTTTCTGTAACAAAGAACTGGTTACCCAAAGGTAGTGTCCCATTTTCTGTAAGAATAATACTGTCACCATACGATGCGATCAAATGCATAACCATCGTTTCTCGTAACCGAACTCTTCTTAACCGAAGCAAGAGAGAAAATTAACATTTAATCATTGAATATAGAAAAGAGTTTTTAAATTCAAGTTTTTTGCTCATTGTCTTATTCTATAGAAATAAATACGTGTTTTATAACATAAAGAAGTGATCTCATAATATCGTAGGTAAAAAGAAAGGCTTGTGAAAGCTTGATCCATAATATGAGTTTTAGACATCCTAAGTTTACTGATGACCTTAAATGTTCTTTCGCACTGAAAGAGATACATAAAAGTGAAATAAATTAGCAAACAACGAAGCATCAAAGATTTCAATATGTTATTAAAAACGTAATACATCCCAAGTGAAACTTTATCAGTTATTTTGTTAACACTGTTCTTGTCAGTTTTCCAAATGAAAAGTTTCTAATAATAATTGGTTACTTTGACTATGGCTAAGCACACAAGGGCTATCTGCCAGAAAATATTTGAACCTGAAAATTTAATGGTTCTACGGAGTATGGGTTTTTATTATTTGCCCTTTTTTGCTAAATGTTCAGCATTTATATTATACTGCTATTAATGTCCTCTATATACTTCTTGAACTTCATTTTGTGGGACACTGGTTTTAATATTTTAAAGGTATAACGCAAAAATTATCGGTTTTTTCCCTGCTATAACGACTGCATATTATTTTCTTTATATGATTAAAATGAAAACAAGGAGAAGATTAAAGACAAGATAAGCTTCAAAAATTTATTTATTAATTCATTTATAGAAGTTTTTTTTTCAAGGAGAGAAATTGTTCATTTATAACAATTATAACATTCATTATTTTGATTCAAGATTGGGCATAAAACTGTGATATTTTTGTCCTTCTGCTAATTCTCTTCGGGATTCGTTTATTGAATTAATTAAAATTAAAGATGTCTAGTGTCTATTGAAAATATCCGCATTTTTATCATAAACTAACTTTATTTCTAATGAAAAATCTGCATTAATTTATATTGAAGAAAATCCTTTAAAAAAAATTGAATCGTTAACGAAAACTTTACGATAACCAAGCGAACCCAATTCTTTTCGAATTTTGACTGAAACATTAACACACACACACACACACACAAAAAAAAAAAAAAAAAAAAAAAAAAAAAAAAAAAAACTAGTTTTATAAATTTATACAACAGCATTCTAATTTCCTTTGCTAATATGAGGGTACATTTTCTTTAAAATGCATCAAAACACGATGAAACCTTTCAAGTTTTATTTGAAATATAGAGTAAAATTTGAATGCAACAATAAAAATTATTTTCATTTCTTAATAGTGAACCTGCTCAAGTAATCTCACGTTTTTCATAAGTTGGTGCTCTCCAAAGTGATGCTCATGTTCACAGAAAGTGCATTTCTTTATTAAGTAATAGAATTTTTCAAATATTAAAAATTTCATCGTACAACAAATCAAGTTTAAACGTAGATTAAAATTCAGTGTCATGATTCTAAACTATTGTTTTCAAAATGCGGAATAAGATCTCCCAAAACCTAAATGTAATTTTGTATTTTATATGTTTATATTTTGTACTCCTTTCTTTTGTTTGCTGAATTGCTTACATGACTAGATATCTGAAATTCTTTCATTTATTTCAGTAACTCATTTTTAAATACATTATCATATTATCTTTCTACAGGTACATTGTGTACTCGATTTATTTTTTTCATTGGTTTATTTCAGTATAAAAAGTATACTTTTCATTCTAGAAGTAATTAACAGGAAAGCAATGTAAATCAGAGCCGTTAAATAACTGTTTTTGTAATTTCAATAGAAAAAAATAAACATGACTATTATAGCATTCAGTCAGTAAGCTTCAATCAATTTGATGCTCTCTTAAACTATACGAATGTTAACATATAAACAATTATTTTCCAAAACTTATATGACTATAAAATGCAACAAAATTAGTTCTTACCTTCTAAGGAAAGGCTGTTTAGCCTAGATAACACAGGTGACCACGTATCTTCATTTATTACATGAATAAGATTAGAATTTAGATTTACGTCTCTTAGGGCTGGCATTTCAGAGAACATATCTTTCGGTAACTGTCGAATTTTATTGTACCTGGAAAAGAAATATTTTTTTTTTGAGAAAACATGGCACTTTAATATTTCACATTATCAATAATTATGCTCTTTGTGCACATTGATGCATTATATTTACCCTCAGACACGGGTGAACAGGGAGTCACTGATGCAGGTTCCCAGGCTTGTTACATTTACCCTCAATCAAGCAATTATAAAATTATTCATTACCTAATACACTGACTACCAATAAGTATTTGGACACCTGTGATAGAAAAGAAAAAAATAACTTTATTCAAGATCAATAGTTGGTAGAGCCTCCACGAGAGGTAATTACAGCGTGGACCCTCTGGGGCATACTTTCCATAAGTCTTTGTATGACAGCTAGTGGTATTTTCTTCCACTCGGCTTGGAGAAGACATAGAAGTTCCTTCACCGATTTTGCACGGGTAGTGCACCCCTGAATTCGGCGATGCAACTCGTCCCAGAGGTTCTCATTAGGGTTCAGGTCTGGACTCTGGGCAGGCCAGTCCATTCGATGAACTCCATTGGCACCACACCAAGCCTCGGTTATCGTCGAAACATGACAACTGGCATTGTCGTCCTGAAAGTAACAGGGTCCAACCCGTAAAACTGCCACAACGTAGGAAGCACATTGTCATCCAAAATAGCAGTAGGCATCGGAGTTGAGATTACCATGAATGGGGACCAAGGGTCCCAGCCCATACCAGGAGAAACACCCCCATACCATAATTCCACCTCCGCCGAACTTGACTGTTGGCACAATGCATTCTGGCAGGAGACGTTCTCCAGGTAGACGGCAGACCCAGACCCTGACATCCGAACGGTAAAGGGTGAACCTTGATTCGTCACTCCAAAGAACCCGTTTCCACTGATCTACGGTCCAATTTCGATGTGCTTTGCACCACATTAACCGAGCAGCGCGGTTGAACTTTTTGTTCAAAGGCTTATGGGCAGCAGCACGATTATGAAAGCCAAGCAGATGTGCTTCCTTACGAATGGTATTCATTGAAACAATACTCCCGCATGTCTGTTGAAACTCCTCGCGGATGAGGGCCATCGGTTGGGTGCGGTTCTTCCGAATTTCTCTGGACAGCACTCGTCGGTCTCTGTCTCCCAGTTTCGTTGGTCTGCCGATTCGGGACACATTCCGACAATCACCGCTCACCTTCCACTTCTTAATCACATAGGCCACCGTCGATTTTGGGTACTTCAGATCGCTAGATATGTCCCTTAAGGATTGGCTACATTTGTGATACCCGATAATTATACCTTTCTCGAAATCAGAGAGCTCCGAACTGCGAGGCATCTTGCATGCGACTAAAGCCGATGCTGTTTCCTACACGATATATACCGGCGGAGTCCGTGACGTACCTTAGGACCGCATATATCGTCATTTGCATTAGGTGTCCAAATACTTATTGGTAGTCAGTGTAGTACCATTTTAGAAATATTCAGCTCATCTACCAGAATAACAATTGTCACTTGAATAATGTGAGGGTTGGGGCACTGAATCGCACACAATTAAAAATCTCTGCAACTTTTAATTGTACCACATCTGACTCTGACTTCCCGAAAGTGTAATTGCAGTAGTTTGGTATTGAAAAAAAGGTTATGGTAGATTAACTGATTTAAGCATAGCGATTAGAGAGTTATCTGCCTCTATAAGGAGTGATGTTTCCGTGGAGGACGTTTTAAGGAAAAACCGCTCATATTCACGTTACACATAGAGAAAATCACGAAAGCCCCCAATCGGCCGGGCCGTTCGATGGTATTTGAACCGGAGTCAAATAATCACTATTCAGAGAACTTAACTGCTCTGCTACTGATAGGCTGCCTTATCAATAATATACATAGTTAACTAATGGATATTTTATGTTTTAAGCTAGAGAAGAGAAAAAGGAAGATGAACCATCTGTTAAATTGCAAATATATATAATACATGTTCATAATAGTATACGTAAAATATGAAACGTTTCTATAAAACTAAACCAATGAAAACGAATAAGATCAAATAAACCAAACCAACATTGATAAGAAAGAACGAGGTCAAATAAACCAAACCAACATTGATAAGAAAGAACGAGATCAAATAAACCAAGCCAACATTTTGCTAGTTTCTTAAATGGCTAGTAACCTGTTGGATATCCTTTAGCTTTTATCACTCACTGCAATCGTTTGGCAGTAAATGAACAAGCTGCTTTGTAACTTCTGCATTAATATTACTCAGTTTTTGTACGTGTGTCTCTCGCATAACTCAAAAATGATTAACCGTAGAACGTTGAAATTTTGTAATATGGAACTGCTATAACAAGTAGTTGGTAACCTCCCTTTTTGGTTGCTCTCGGCCGCACCAAACATATATATATATATATACATATATAGTATACCCTCTCTGTTATCCGACTCGGTGAACTCCGTTTTTTATACTTATGATGTTGGTAAATTGTTCACTTTTTTCTTTAAAAGTGAATGAATTATGTTAATTTTATACCTTTAGTATTTATGCATGCAATAGTTGTAGAATTGATAAAAATGTAAAATTTAAGCGGTGCTAAGGCTAACGAAGCCGCCATTTGTTTGCATTTGAAACTCTTGGTGGAATAGTGAATTAAGCCAGTTTGTGCACCAACTTCAATGTCTTTTTGCAGAGTGGGACGAAATGTAAACTTTCAATTTTGTTCATTGAAAAATTTGTCTTGCTGCCCGCTGGCGAATTGCTTGTTTTTGTGCAGAAACTCTAATTTTAATTGTAATTTTTTTTCACTGTTTTTAATTGTATTTCGTTTTTTATGTTTTTCCGTATTTTACAATTTTTAAGGAACACGTTTTGAGTTTTAATGTACTTTTGCCTAGCGCTTTAATGTATTTAAAAAAAAATCCACGTCAGATATTTTTTGAAATAAAAAATATATCTGACGTGGCGTAATGAAAAAGTAGCTATATATATATAGCCACTGTAAAAAATATATGCCGTGGCGTAATACAAAATTACTGGTGTAGCCAGTAATTTAGTGCAGAATAAAGGACAGAAGAAGTACAGAGTTACTACAGAGGTAGCAAATTTTTGCGATTTCATAAGCAAGCAATACGTTAAGAGTACGTCCATAAATACCTAATGAATGACATCGTAATCGCAGAAATAAAGCACAATATATCACATCAAGTTATTTTAAAAAGGACTTCGACAGCACATTTGCCAAGGGAATTAGAATCTCTCAATAAAACAGGTTGAAGTCCGCCAGACGTACCACTGTAGTTGAATATAAGTTCTTTTGCAGCCAGTAGAATGAAGAATATATTTTTGAACAGGTTTAGCATCTCGCAAATTCATCCAAAGATAGGTTAGCATTATAGAGCTTGTAGAATTAAGACATACAAAAGAACGAAAAGTTTTTATGCCTAATTTGATAACAATTGGCTTCAAACTTCGAGTTTATCAACTCTTGTATGCAAAAAGATACAAAATATAGAATTCAGTGCAATACTTACGCTAGATCTAGTGTCTTCAACTGAGTGGCTGGTTGTGGGAACATCGATCTAGATAAGGTGTTAATGTCATTGCCAGCCACAGCTAGCAATCTCAGATTCTTTAAAGAACGAAATGCGCTATCTCCCAGCACCTCAATACCGTTGCGTTCGAAGATAAGTACGCTTAGTTTTTCGGGACCTTCAGTAAACCAGTCGTTGCCTACTTCAGGTATACCATTGTCCTCCAAAATAATAACCTATAGCAGAAAATCAGAAGTAAGTAAAGTATTTGTTTGCAAGTAATTGTGACAGGAATTGCAGGTTAATTGTGACAGGAAAATTTGAGTTTGCGTCTTTTAGTGACATACACATTTCAGATGCTAAACGACGCAATTTAATGTGTAGTGAAAATATATTAAAAATTTTTTTTAAATAAAAGGTAAAGGTAAATTCATATAAATGCCTCCACGTTTTGGATGCTGCAAATAAATTTATTCTTTATTTATTCAAATACCGTGTAATTAGTTTTTATTTATTTATTTATTTATTACTATTTTTATGTATAATTGGAACACATTGTTGAGACATCAGACGGCAGCATGTTTTGTAACGCAAGAACATCATAATAGCGGAAATTCGTATTGCTATGAAATTTTGTAGATATTTATTTGTTTATATTTGGTTGTTTAGGAATTTTTTATTTGTTATGTAATTTTTGTGTTTTTATTTATATTACTTTATGCATTTTGCATGGTGATTTTATATATGTTTATTACATATTTTATTTAATTTTGAGCTTGCGGCTATTTTTTTTGAACACGTGTAATTCCTATGTTATTTTGTAAAGATTTTAACTCTAAATTGATTATATAAATCGTAAAAACAACCCTGTATTTAGCGTAAGTATATTGAAACACTCAATCGATTTCGAGGGCAGCTATAGGTCCCTCCTCATCAGGAGAAAGAAATACCTACAGAGAAGAAAAATAAAGGGGAAGGAGTCTCAGAAACACGTGGTCCTTATCAGCACTGCACGTGGTTATAACCGGATTTTTAATCAGAGTTACACTGGCCGCCTACTTTTACTGAGCCAGGCTATCTGATCAAACATGTAACACAAAGGAACAAGAAAAATTAGCGAAGTTAAAAATAGGGAGCAAGGAGCAACTGCACCTTCACGCTCAAAATCTGAACTTCGAATAATCACGAAACTTTCTCCCGTGATTATTGATAAAGCCGTTAAAAAATTTTCAGATTCCCATCAAAGAAGACATTTCACTGTTAGAAATAATATTAACGACCTTGTCGTGCTTCCATTTTATGCTTCTGTTAGCTATAAAATTGCACGGATTCTCCAGAAATTCAATTTTCAAGTCGGTTTCTCCCCTATTAATAAAATTCACCCTTCGATTCTAAAGATTGCGTTTCTGTCTTGAATTCTTGGGGAATTTATAGTATATCGTGTCAATGTGGTTTAAGATATATCGGCCAAACGAAAAGAGCGTTGAAGTTTCGTATCAGGGAACATGAATCTTATGTCAGAAAAGGCGAAATTAACAAGTCTTCAATAGCGTATCATAGTTGGACATTTAACCATAATTTTGACTTTGGGTCTGCAAAAATTATCCAAAAGGCTTCTTCCACAGGTGAATTGGATTTTCTTGAGGCTTTTCATATTCACAAAGATTTAGAGCAGGTTTAGTTAAGGATTTGAAGTCCAATCCAGTCCTTCCTAATGCCTTTAAAATTCTACTATCTTAATTCAGTTATTTTTGCCGATAGATTGCGTTATCTCCTCGCGTTTGGTACTACCAGAGGGTATAAAAATCCGTTCAGTGGTTGCTTTCCATTTTTCGAAGTTCAGATTTTGAGCGTGAAGGTGCAGTTGCCCCTTGCTCTCTATTTTTAACTTCGCTAATTTTCCTTGTTCCTTTGTGTTACATGTTTGATCAGATAGCCTGGCTCAGTAAAAGTAGGCAGCCAGTGTAACTCTGATTAAAAATCCGGTTATAACCACGTGCAGTGCTGATAAGGACCACGTGTTTCTGAGACTCCTTCCCCTTTATTTTTCGTCTCTCTAGGTATTTTTTTCTCATGATGAGGAGGGACCTTTAGCTGCCCTCGAAATCGATTGAGTGTTTCAATATACTTACGCTAAATACAAGGTTGTTTTTACGATTTTTATTGTCACATTAACGTGTTTCTCTTCTAGTCTAAATTGAATGTTGTTGGAATTGCAAGGATAGAGCAAACCGAAGTTATGGGCAGAAACTCCATAGTGGGCCTTGGCGACATTCTAGAAGCTTCCAGAAAACGCCTTTGAAACCACAGAAGCGATTTTTCAGGTAAGTTGCAGAAGTACTTATCCTACGCTTGGGCCAGTGGTATAAATAAGAGATGTGAATGGTTAAGAATCAGTTGAGTTGGGACTTAATCTCACTCTACTACATTGTTGTTGTGCTACAATCTCGTTCTACAACCGATCTGGTCGATCAAAGATCATTAATTTCGGGTTTGCTCTGTGAACGATCTTGGTGAACTGCAATATTTTTCGCATGTTAGGAGGAATTTTATTCTTGCTTTCCTCACTGAACTACAAATATATATAGATGATTTTAAACTTTAAGGGCTGTTCATCAACTCGAAAATGTTTAATTTAGGAAACTTTCTACAAACATGGGGCATGCAACAGTATTCTCATCCATAGTCTCGAGGTTTAAATTTGTATTTGTTCGAACATAAATAATTATAGTTAAAAAGAACCGACAACTATGAAAATCGAAACTATCATTATTAAAGAAAGGACCAAGAAAGTAAAGAAGTAAGAGGGCTCTGCTTAGTTGTTTAAAGCGTTTATTATTTTTCGTTGGACGTCAGGATTTACCCTAAATAACTACTGAAATTAGCTGAATACCTTTTCCTCATTCCTATTTAAATTTTGCATGCATGGAAACTTAAGGTACATTATTAATGGCTGCAACGTTAACAAAGTTCATCCTTAGATAGCAACGACCCTCTCCCCTGCTTTCACTAGAAAAGATTTATTATTGTAAAATAAGAGTTTAGAGATTTCCGATATTTCTTCAAGCTTAGGAACATTTTTAGGAAAATGACAGTTTGGTGAGAATATTTCGATAAGTTCCCGCTTATATTCACACCGTTTACTATATGATTATGAAACCATAAATTCATGATAAGAATCACCTACGTTACCAGCTTTTGAGAACTGCTTTGATTAGTGATTCATCGACTTTTACTGCCACCAACAGCCGAGCGATAATGTCGCTGAACACTAGTAGTTCGGTCTGTGTTCAAATACCAGCCAACGGGCTGGCTGCATGGGCGTTTCATAGTTTTCCACATGTGTAACGTGTATACGAGCCAGCTTCCCTTAGAAAGTCTTCCACGAAGGCATACAGCCCCTTAGGCAGCTAGCCTTCAATTGCTTTGCCGTAAACAAATAAACCACCGATTTTTGTAGCTGAAGTAATGATTGCATCTGCAGTTTAAAGAAGAAAAATTACATTACCCAAGAATGTCAAAATGAGGTTATGCAAATGCATACTACGTATCTTTTATTTGATATTTAAATAGTTTCTTTTATGGTTAAAAGGTTAAGAAGCTGTTTAACCGTCTGCAAAATTCTTCAAATAATTCATAACTTTTTATTACCAGTCTTTACTGAAATCTTTGGAGGTAACTTTTATTTCTCACCTATGTCACCTATGAAAGTAATATTTCATAAATGACATTTCACGCGTTTCATAGCTGTCAATATATATAGGTGTCATTTTACGGCGAGTGATACAGTTCGTCGTAAAATGTCACTGCCTGATCAGAGTTCAAGCTATAGCATGCTTTTAACTTGAACGCAGGAGGGTCATGTCACGGTTGTAATAGATCCAAGATCGAAACACGTATTCTGGCAGAGCAATAATGAACAATAAATAAATAATAAGACACCACCTGTCATCAGCTTTAATAACTTTCTGTAGTAGCATTTTGTTCGGTCTATCAGGTTCAGATGGCGCCACTATTAAACAAGAGACTGGAAACAAGTCTGCCTCTCAAGTAGAGCTCCGATTGATTGGATGTTCCACTGACGTAGATAACATTAATATTATAACTTAATCATTTACATTATTTCCCTGCTTTAAGTTTCTCTAGTAAAATTTACACTGAATTCAAATTTTCTCACTGTATTCTTTTTTGCCTTTCTCCACCAAGCTTAGGTCTCTTCTCGAAATTTGTACTGAAAGAGTCGCGTTATATTGACACTTGAACCTTTGGATTCAGCTCGATTGGATTAGAGCTCTTGCAAGGTCGATGATTAGTAAACCAAAGAATTCTGGCACATGACAGTGTAGGCTCATGAAAATATTTAAATAAGAATATTATGAAGAAAATGCTGCTGACCACAACTGTGAGAAATGCTGGTGATTGTGTAATGGTGAATAGAAAAGAAATCAACGAGAGAAGAACATATGGCACAATATGTGGAGCGGAGATGAAAAATGCGTAGGATGCAAGTAAGCAGATAAAAAAAAAAGTTAGAAATGTGCAGAATGTGTACAACAGTGTTCTGATAACTGGGGAAAAAAATCTGATGTGTACACCACATGACTTCCTTGTATGGAATATTAAATTATATGCATTTTTTCTTGCATTTCGTTTGAACTTATTGGATTTAATTAAATCTACTTCGCTGACAGCGCATAAACCACAATAGAATAAAGGCATTCTTTAAAATTCACTCTATTTGTTTAACATAGCGACACTCTGGCGCTAGATTCACTTAACAGTATTATATTTCGTTCATATTATAACTCAGAATACACAAAATTTATCTCATTTAAAGAATTATCTAATCGTTTCCACATGTTCTTTCCAATACTATAATAAAGCTAGAACGATGTATAAAAGAAATTAAGCAAACAAAACAAAAAAGAAACAGTTTTTCACAGACGATTGAGTATTTCTCATTCAATTAATTCAGTTCTCACTTCGCGACAAGGCAAAAATACATAAAAGCTCAAAATATCTGTATCAAAAATTAAATTACTAATTATTAAACATTAAATTATTAAAAATTAAGTAAATCTTAAACACTTATTTCCTTGAAAAAATTCCAGAAAGGATTAAGCGTGATTTAATTCGCAATAATAAATGAAGGCGTTATCTTTGTTGTTGCGAAGCTACATTTCTCTAAATTGGCAACAATTCCACTACTCTGCTGTTTCAAATATAAACAAGCAACGGCCGCCATAAAAAAAACATTATATTAGGCTTAGTGGCACTTAAACAACTTTATTAAAATATTGCATACAGAGTTACTAAAGACATAAAAACCTTAACCGGAAGACAAGAACAACATAATTCAGTCATTTTTAAAGCAAAAAGTGTACAATTTACAAACATATAAGAGTAAAGAAACTGAGATCACTGAGCCGGGTAACAGAGTGGATATATATATACATATATTTATATACGTTTGGCGAAGCCGATTGCAACCAAAATACGAGGTACACATCTACATGTTATAGTAGTCCTGTATACAAAATTTCAATGTTCTGAGGCTATTCGGTTTTGAGTTATGCGAGATACGTACGTACCAGACGCCACGAAAAATTCTCTTCAGAATTCATTTTAAAGCAGTTTTATATTTTTTTTTGGAGGAAAAGAGTCTTTTATTCTGTCCTTACAGATATCACGCAAAAACATCGTTACATTGCATTCGAAAGCGGTGAAAATGGATATTTTCGTTGAAATATGCTGCCTGCAACTTTTCGCGATTACAATACTTACATTTTACTTCGTACAAGGAAGTAAAAATAAAAATTCTAGATTAAATAATACACAGAAATGCAGCGACTGCTTCTTGAATAAGTACTACGTTCACATAACAAAAACAAGTAAACCAGTACTATGCAGTGAGTACTTCATAGGAAATAAAATGGTGATGCACGACAAAACAAATACGATGTGAGAAGTCAAGGAGCTGTAATGTAATGTTAAGAAAATAATCATGAAAGAGTTGAGGAGGGAGCAGGTACAGAAATGAGTAAATGGAAGAGGGTCAGACCCCCGATCCTCTGACATGTTGACTGGTGTTGTAGCCGTTGAGTTGCCGAAGTAGTGGAAGGTCCCGATCTAGTGCAGGATGGCTAAGGTGGGGGGAAGGTAGAATTATCCTTGTTTAAAGAGATGAATGGCGTAGTCATCTTTAAGAATTTCATAGATGAAACCGGTTTTGTAATCCATTTTCTCGCAAGTAATGGCTTTTAGTGTAGAAAATGCTCTTCATCTGAAAAGCCTGACACATCTTGTGCAGCTGCCTCCAGTCAGTGGAAGTTTCTTCAACCATTCTTCTGCGTTCTTTTTCGGACCAGCTACTTCATTTCCTAAAGTTCGACATTGCAGAACAAATTTGAATCTTGCATGCTATGTTCACAAAATTTAGAGCTATAAAAAATAATGGATACTCAGAGATATAGCTGCTGCCCAGGAACCCGTTTTCGTGACCTTCTAAAAAATGCAAATGCGCTGTCTTGTAAATATCATGTCTATCAAAGAAATACATTTTGAGAGGCTTTGAGCAACTTCGCTTGCTGTAAAATGACATCGACATGTTGCTGTTACTGATCCTAACTTAGCCATTTGTCTAGATCAGATCTATGAGTACATGACACATCATCACCGAAGGTAGGTCTTTTGAGTAGGTCCTCCTTTACAAATCTCAAACATGAAGATGTTCAGGAGTGAAATCATCGGTATTACATTTAGATCTTATTTGCCAAGTCAGATTTAAGGCGTTTTAGGTATCCACTTAGGAACCTCGTCAAAGTAGTCTGCTGAGCACGATTATTTCCAAAAGCAACAGTACCTCCCGGCTGCCTGCCGAAGTACTAGTCATGAGCCGGAGGAGAATGCCAGGAAGAGGCAAAATTAGATTTAACTCTCCAGCAGAACTTCAAAAAGCTCAGGGTGCCAGTGGTCAGAGTAATTTAAGTACCTTTGTTAACTAGGGCATCAGGCATTTCATTACCACCGAAGCCAATATGTGAAGGGATCGATTGCAGATGTGCATCATAATGGGAAGAGAGTTATCCCAGTAAAGCCAAAATAGAGGATGAAGTTTTACCTCCAATACGAGGCCAATTTTGCAGATGTTGGATAGAACTGCGGCTGTCAGTCAATCCAGATGTGTTTGTAGGCAAGCAGTGCAAGTGCCTTAAGGCCCTCCTCACTTGCAACGAGCTCAGAATGAAGAACAGAACAGTGACATAGACATTTAGCTCTTAAGCTATAAGCCACTAAATGTGAACCAATAAACGTGAAATTCATGAATCTGAAACCAATAACCGAGAAATAATATGTAACAATAAAATTTTGGAAAGAAAGGAATGCTTTTGGCAAAGATATTAGTTTTTAAAATTAAGAGGAAATATAATTTCCATTAACTCATGCATACATATCACTTAGTCAATTCACACCTTAAATAAGCTATTAAAGAGTAACTATCCCTTTCGATTGTTAATTTATTGAAAATTGTTAATTATCCCTTTCGACACAGCCTATTACTTTTTTAATATTTTCTCGTATGTAACACACTGATGGAATTAGTGCACTTAGTTTCTTAAGTACACTTAATTTCTTAATTACCGTCAATACCTTAGGCTTAACTTCAGAAAGAGTACGTGAAAATTTTAATTAATTAATGCCTACAGCACCATTCATGTTCTGAGCTCTGAAGACAATTAGTTGCAGTAATTTCCAATAATAAAATCAGGATTATTAATTTAGCTATAAACATGCTTTTAACTTGGTCGTTTGAGGCGTCATGTAAGAACTGTAGCAGACTCGGTATCGAGTTTCGTACTTTAGCAAAACAGCGTCAAACACCAACCTTCGCTCATAGCTCCATATAAGTCGACAACATCCGCCTCAACAATCTAACAGCATTTATGCAACAGCAGCTTCTTCACATTAGCAATACAGAATAGCTCCATTATTAAACAAAATAAAGTGCCAACAGGCGATCGTCTTATTTGGATACACTATTAATTATCTCTAAAATAATGCTTTCGTAAAGAAACGATTATTATGCTGTTAATTATAATATCATTCATTTTATTTATTAAGATGATTTAATGGACAGAACTCTATAACAAGCTTCACAAATTTTTGTCGTGAGTTCTTCGGGGAGTGCGATTAGTGTTATATACTGATGAAGTTTTTATCGTTAAATAGTCATAATAATCTTACATCTAGTTTTTTCAAGTGGTCCAGCTGTAGGTTAACTAGTTGACGACTGCCTCGGAAACTCTTTCTTATCTCCAGCTTTTGTAAAGACTGTTCCAATCCTTGGAAATGACGACGCCCTCTACGGAGAGAGGCATCTTCGACTTCTACTTTCTCTGCAACAAATTCTTCTATTTCAAGACCTTTAAACATTTCTGTAGGCAAAGAAGAAGCGTTAAGCTTTGTTATCTCCAACTGATGTAGATAGTAACCTTTAAGGTTATTCAAAACTTTATTCAGCTCTGTATCGCTTTCTAGGCCATGGCATGCCACCTGGGGACCTGCAATCAGATATCATATGTCAGTGTATTGATATCTAAAATCATCAATATATGGATTAAAATACAGATTTGTCAAAAACTATTCAATGAAATGAAATTAATTTATTTGCATGACGTATCATATTGAAACTAATAAGCTAAAATATCATTTATGAATGCATATGATGTATGACATAATATGCGGCATGCTGATAATAATATGGGACATTATATACGACAATAAAATTTAGGAATGAAAGGAATGCTTTAGGGAAAGATATTGGTTTTTAAAATTTATAGGGAATATATAATCTCCATTAACTCGTACATGTATACTATTAGTCAATTCACACTTTAAATAAGCCATTTTAGAATAATGAAAAATGTTAGCTATCCCGCTATCCCTTCCAACAAAGTATACAACTTAAATTTTTTAATGTTTTTTTCATATGTAATACATTTATAAGGTATTTTCTCCCGTCTTTCTGCATGCCTTCGTGGTATAACCGTAGCACACTCGGCGCGTATTCGAAAGGTCCAGGTTGTAACAGCTTTAAATAATATTAAAATCTTGTAGTTTAAATAATTTAAATAGATGAACATTAAGGTATTTGTGAATGGCAATATTTGAAACCAGACTCGAGTGCCTCGTGCGACTCTCGCACGAAGAATGTAAATTATTTTTAAATGTTAGAATATGTTTTCTCTTCTTGATTGTATGTCGCCATTTTTTTGAGTGTTAAATAAAAGTTATTGCTGTGTTCCATCATTGGAGTTGCTTCATATTGCCAAAGAAGCATCACAGTCTTAATTGTTTTGGAGGCACCGACGAGATCGAATAATCGTGCGTATTTTTATTTTATTAGTTCATCATTGAACATAATATTAGTGATACCAGATTATTACCTCATGTTAATATTGAATTGCTTTATTTTATTAGTTCATCATTGAACGCAATATTAGTCATACCAGATTATTACTTCCTGTTAATTTTGAATTGCTTTATGTTATTAGTTCATCACTGAACGCAATATTAGCGATACCAGATTATAACTTCCTGTTGATATTAAAATGCGTTATTGTATTAGTTCATCACTGAACTTATTCCTGATGATATGAATTGTCTTATTTTTATTAGTTCATCCTGAACATAATATTAGTGATACCAGGTTATTACTTCCTGTTTAATATTGAATTACTTTATTTTATTAGTTTCATCACTGAACGTAATATTAGTGATATCAGGTATTACTTCCTGTTAACACTGAACTGCCTTATTATTAGTTTAATCACTTGAACGTAAACTTAGTGATACATTTTAATGCCGTTTCTACTAGAGCTCAAAGGAAAAGAAAAATAGCTGAAGAACAGATCTTGGAACCGATGAAGGAAGAAAATAAAGCATCCAGAGATGTATTTGAAGAAGAAGTTAAATCACCAGAATTAAAAGAGGAAGATGTTCACGAAAATTTAAAAAACGATAAAGAAATTAATATTGAGAATCATTTTGCAACGCAGCGTTATCACCATCTTTCGGCTTTTGATTTAATATCAAAGTCGCTACTAATAGACGAAGAAAACAATTGTCGAAAGCAATGACAATTGAATATTTCCGAAGGCACAGATGAACTGAGGAAAGGTTTTGCTGTGAATTATAGCCGAGGACTGGTCAACGTGGAAGAGATCTAGGCGCCATCAAGGAAAAAGGAAGACTAATTTGAAACTGTCTATTTTCTTCCTATTTAAATGTGGTGTAAAAATCTTGTTTAAAACTTAAAAATTTTGGCCTGAAGTTTGGAAACTTATTAGAGAAGTACCTTTCTCTTTAAGCAAATGAGCAAGCCGAGCTTATAAACTTTCGAATTTTACAGAAATTTTCCCTTCGGCAAAAGTCTCCGTTGGGGGAGGTTGTAACAGCTTAAATAATATTAAAATCTTGTAGTTTAAATAATTTAAATCGATGAACATTAAGTATTTGTGATGGCAATATTGAACCAGACCGAGTGCCTCGTGCGACTTTCGCACGAAGAATGTAAATTATTTTTAAATGTTAGAATATGTTTTCTCTTCTTGATTGTATGTCGCCATTTTTTTTAGTGTTAAATAAAAGTTATTTCTGTGTTCCATCATTGGAGTTGCTTCATATTGCCAAAGAAGCATCACAAGGTTCGAGTCTCGGCGAGGACACTGCACATTTTTCACGTCTTCCTCTTTCAAAATAACCTAATGATTCTACAGTGGCGCCCGAACTAAAAGGTGGTAGATGATGATTCTTCACCACTAAGATTTGGCGAATGGTTTCCCTAATCCCCAGTCGACCAAAAGGAAGAGTATATAAGGTATTTTCTCCCTCCTTTCTGCGTGCCTTCGTAGTGCAACAGTAGCCCACTCGGTGCGTATTCGAGAGGTCCAGGTTCGAGTCCCGACAAGGGCATTGCTCATTTTTCACATTTCCTGCTTCAAAAGTCCTAATGACTCTACATATTGATCGAATTAGTGCGCTTAATTTCTTAACTACTGTTATTACTTTAGCACTATAAAAAGAATAAGTGAAAATTTTATTTATGTAATGCCTGCAGCATAGTTCATGTTCTGAACTCTCAAGACTATCAGTTGCAGTAATTTGCATTTAAATGTTGATCGTTAATTTGAAAGAAAAAAAATTGATAAAGCTTTTCTCACTAAGTGTTATTAGAACTTTTTTAAAATTATTTTAAAAAGAGATAAATAGCAATTCTAATTACTAATTTTTTTTATTTATTTCATGTTTTATACAATTATAATGAATTTTTAACGAACAAACTCAGCGATTTAAAAGCAACGTGTGGCCACTTGGTTAAACGTAAAAGACCTTTTTTGATTAACTTCACCGAATCGTGCTAATATTTGAAACTCAATTTAACCTCAGCTGAATGGTTTAACTCTAAGATACCTGTGCACAACACACTAACACTATCGAAAATTTCTAAATTGAGAAATAAATTCTGATAGAAACTTGTAAAGGCATCTAAATTATCAGAAAGTCGTACAGCTCTTAAAGTTTTGCAGAAACAGTTCTTCAGCTAACCTAGCTGGTATTATAAAAATCCTTGAGTCATTTTAAGAATGTAAATCAGTCGAATTGAAATAAGGAAATTACAGTAAGGAAGTGCAAATTAAGCTGATTGTCAGTCCTCAAAATTATACCTTAAATAATTCTCATATTTTAGGTAGTAAGTTAACACAAAAACGCAAAGTAGAAAGCTACGAGGTATACCATTAACGAGACTTAGCAACATGAAAATCAAAATATTCATAGTATACAACGAATTACAAAAAGTAATTAATTATTGTTACCTTCTATAAGATGTCATCAAAAATCGAGAAAAGAATGAACAATTTTATTGAATGCATAGATTTCCGGCATTCTACTAAATATTTATATATAATTTTACATCTGATAACTGGAAACCTTTAGTAATTTATTTTATTACCTTAGCAATCTTAGATATGGAACTTATAACATTAACTGGTACTTTTCCGTTTCGCCGGCGCAAATCTCGCCAAGCAGACTTTATTGGCGACAACATACAGTATACATATAAAAAATATTTAAAAAAATGTTAGTTTTAAGAATTTTTTTTTTAAAGGCATAAAATTTTAATATCGCTTAAATTTTATAAAAACCGATAAATAAAGAAATAAATTTGTAAAAAGACATTATTTAAGAATTTACTACGCTTTCATGGTTCAAGCATCCTGATTCGCCGGTTCATATCACGTGACCCCAAGCGATCTCATCTCACGTAAAAACTCTACAAAAATCTAATGCTCTCAGTAATTATCTACATTAATTTCAAGTTAAATCTTAATTTGGAACACAAGTTTAAATGCAAGAAATATTTCAATTTGTACGAATAGCTTACTCAGAAATTATGTAAAACTGCAGTACTTTACTTCGCTAATGCATTCTCATTAGAATTGATGAATTTAACTCTTGACCTTACCTTTTCTATATTTTCGGCTTCGGGTAAGCGCTGTGATTGCATCCTAATTGACTTAATTATCGAAAATGACTGAACATCTGATAAATAACAAAAACATACAACATAAAACTGAACTATCTGATAAAATTCTATGTAATTATATGTCAGTATTGAAAGAAACAATCAATCTGATAAGAAAAAGCTGCGACTTGTTTTGAAAATGAGGCGTAAAAGGTTACCAGCGAGAATATTCCGTTTGGCATCGGTTGCACCATTATTAGCGACTTTATCGCTTGCGCCGGCAAAACGGAAAAGTACCCATTAACTTTATAGACAGTGCTTCCATAATTATTTTGGAGGATTTTATTTTGAACTAGGTGGGAATACAGCCTGCCCTGGACTGTACGAGGGATTAAAATATCCGAAACAACTTTCTTAAAATTGGTAGTTTTTTCTAGTTGTAAATTTATTGCTAGATTTGGATTTTTCTAAGGGTTTTTGCTGAGTAATAATAATAGAGGCCGGTTTTGATCTTCTTCTTCAGTTTTCAATATGTCCAGTTTGCAGACAGTTGCATTTTCAGTTTCAGTCTTTTTGGTATAACATTTAAACTTTTATATGCTCTGCTCTAGATCAAGTGGATGTGTTCTGCACCTGATCTAAATACCCCAAACAACTGCTCATCGAGATCCACTGGTAATCTTCTAGATCTGATTTAGATATTTTAGGGTAGCTATCGGCTGTCCGTAACAATTAGTTACCATGTCTAATCCACATTTATTAGATAGTATGTAGGGTTATTACTATTTTAATTAACCAGTTATTTATAATTTCAACCTTTACTATCACTTCTTTTCCGTTTCCTCACCAAAAATTCAAATCATTTTAGAGAGTTTTAAGTCGAGGGTTTCGGGTTGTAAGACAAAGCGTGTTTCTATCTCTCGAGGCCACGTCATTAGGTTTCGCCAGCTGTAAGATTGTAATTCTTCGTCTTTGCGTTATTGCTGCCGACATTAACTGTTACGCTGGCGAGAAGTTCTGAATCAATTTAGAATTTAATATCAATTGTGTAGTCTTTCACTACAGAGCTTAGTTTTAAATTTGAATTTCACTGTTACTTCAGTTACATTGTCACAAGAGGTAAATGATCTTATCAAGCACAAGAAGTGCGTTTATGTTCAAGTTCTGTTTTAATAAAAAAACCTTTTCAAGACTCTTTTTGTTACTTCAAGAACAGCGATAATTCGCTCCAAATCTGTTAGAAGATTGATACTAGTGTATGCCCACAGAGAAGGTCAAACTCTATAAACATATGGCTTTAAGTGTCTGTCTAGAATTCTATTTGCTTAGGACTGCATTCTGCTTGAAATAATTCTAAAAAAATTCTTAAAACTCAAAACTAAGCACAAAATTTGTTTTGAAAATTTACGCAAGGTGAATAAAGATATTTAGGAATTCAAATGAACTTCTGAATTTTTCACCTTCCTGATCATGTCAAATGAAGAACGGCTTCCTGATCTGAAGAAAACGGAGAACACATTGTAAAGACCTTATTTTATTCTAACCAATTATTTTTAGTTTTAGAAACTTTCCTTTCCCTTCCGATTTCAGTTTCCTACCAGAATGTAAATTTTAATGACGTGTATTCCATACGCGAATTCGAAGTGAGTTTGGAATCAGTATATAAGTAGCGATTAAAAGAGTGAGTCCCCTAATCCCCAGTAGCCCTTTAACATGGAGGTAGGAAAGGGAGGAGGGGCCAACCCGCGCTAAAAGTGAAGCACTGCTTTGAAGCTTGGGTCACCAGATGGGGTGTTCTTTGTTTACATTCAGAAGCTCGCTTGACAAGATTCTGATAGTATTTCGACACACGACAGTTTCATAGAAATCGAAAAAGGGACACTTTCGCATGAAAGTTTGGTTTGGTTTGGTTTATTTAATTACGGCAAAGCACACTAGGGCTATCTGCCTAAGGGGGAGGGATGCTTTCGTGGAGGACTTTCTAAGGGAAACTGGCTCGTATACACGTTACACATGGGGAAAACCACGAAAACGCCCATGCAGCCAGCCCGTTCGCGGGATGCGAACCTCGGACCGAACTCCCAGTGTTCAGCGACTTTACCGCTCGGCCGCTGGTGGGCCCTTTCGCATGAAAGGAACATTCATAGTGTGATGGATAATAGCAATTTGTATAGTTTAGTGACATTTACGCAAAAATCCCATCTTGGTTATTTTTCGATAATACTAACAACAGCGATTTGATTATGAATTTGTTTTTTAAAATTATAAGCTGTTGCACTACAAACATAAGATTTTAAGAAAATGTTATGCTTAAAGAATGAAAATACCTTACGGTACATTTAAAATTGTATATGTCTTTCGATACTTGATAATAAAGTATTCGCACTTTTTTTTATTTTCCAAACGTCAAATGTTTTAAATAAAACAAATTTTTTCCACATCCATATATTATTGTAACATGTACCCTTTTAAAAATTTTTTAGAGGAGAGGCTTTACTGCTGCTCATTTTAGACCATCCTTTTAATTTTATATCTGAAAAATAATCACTTTGGGCTTACATGTTTTATAAATATAAAATTATGTATGTTAAAATATTTGTAATTAGGCACATAGGTCAGATTAAGTTTTTATTAATAGAGTAAACGCATGCAAGGGCATCTGCCTAAAGAGAGGAATACCATCGTGGAGGAATTTGAAGAAAAAAACTGACCTTTGAGCGGGTATTAAAAATAATACTATAATTTTTTCAAAATATATTCATATATATTTTTTATGTAAATATTTTCGGGGGTATGCTAAATTAGTGTAAATTACTATACACGAAAATATAGTGAATGCACAGAAATTAAAGATTGCACATGCCGGAAATGAAAATAGGAAATATGTAGGGTATTTATTTATGTGCTTGCAAAAGCATGTATCTGCCTTTGACAAAATACTTAATATCATTAAATTGATTTATAAATGTATTTGAAATGAAGAATTTATTCCCTTATAAACAACTGTGAAGTACTGTGAGAAATCAATTATTAAATGTATCTAATTTATAATGATTATAAATGTTATCTAATATATAACCTTAATATTGAATTGTAACATAAATTGAAATCCTGTGACAAATACGTTATAAACTATTTAAGCAGAATTGTTCGTACTGAAACAATCTGTTAAAAGGTATTGTAAAGCAAATGCTATGAGATGCGCACTAAGAACGTAAATAAAGAGTTTTGGAATATGTATTGTTGAAATGAAGAGTAAAAAAAAAAAAAAAATCTGATAAGCATAATTAAAAGAATTATAAAAAAAAAAACTTTTATTCCCTTTCAAATGTTCAGAGAAAGTCAAGTACTATTTAAAGTATTCGCTCATTCCTAAAAATTCTCTAATTTAAAATGACTGATAGAGCATTAATTATAAAATTGACTTACATTTTCGATTAAAGATGCCTCAAGCCAAAAAATCATGTCATATCTAAGAAGTATTTTAGGAGAAGCTCTATAAATAGGAAAGAAATAATGCATAATTTTAATATTATAATACAATAAACTTTGATCTTAATTTTTGTACCTTAACCGAATAAAATCGAATTACCTTAATTTTTTTTCTAATGTAATTAATGAAAACTTGTGAAAATATTTCATTCAAATTAAACCATTCTGAGAAAACTGTCCTGTGAAAAGTATAGCATTTAATTCCGTCAGAATGAATGTTGTTTAAAAATAGGTTTTTTCATATACTTAGACTCTGAAGTGTTGTAGAAAGAAAATATATACATTTATATGTATATTTACGACGTAATTACAAAATATTTACATCCGAACGCGTCAAATCCCATCGAAATCTGGTAAATGACCCAATGTTTTGGTCACCACGTAGGGATCGCCGGTGCTTCAGAGCAGGGTACGGGAGAAACTTGTTTAGGGCAACTCCATCTTACTTTCCTACCTCTATGCTTTTTAGAAGAGGAATATATAAGGTACTTTCTCCCTCTTTTCTGCATGCTTTCGTGATGTAACGGTAACACACTCGGCGCGTATTACAGAGGTTCGGATTCCTGTCCTGGCAAGGACATTATCAGTTTTCACGTTTACTACGTCCAAAAATCTTAATACCTCTACAGTGGCGCCCGAACTAAAAAAGGTGGTAAATGATGATTCTTCACCACCAGCATTTGGCAATTGGGTTCCCTAAATCCCCAATCGCCTTTTAGAAGGGGGTTTACATAACGTACTTTCTCCGTCTCTTCTGCATGCCTTCTGCATGTGGTGTAACGGTAGCACACTAGGCGCGTATTCGAGAGGTCCAGGTTCGAGTCTCGGAGAAGGCATTGCTCATTTTTCATGTCTCCTTCTTTAAAATAATCTAATGACTACAGCATTTGGATCATAATAGGAAGAAGTAAAGATATCTCTCATACATACCTTCCTTTTTGGGAACACAAAAGCATTTCGAAATGGATTCTTTTGGTGGACATTCTTTTTTAGACCCGGTTGCATATCCAACCATAATCGCCAGGAGGGGAAGCACTGTACACTTCAGCAACATTGCTAAAAACCTGAAACAGTTAAAAAATAAATTAAATTAAAAAAAAAATATGTTTGTATTTGGCTTGTTGTTAATAGTTTGTATTTCAGTTGGATCATTGTACTGCTGATAGATATTAACAACTACATAAAAATAAAAATCTATAATATGTTAACTAAGTACCATAAAATAACACAAAATTGGTAAAAGAAGAAAATACAGTGGATGAAATACAAATAAATGCAAATTCAAAATTAAAAGCGTGAAACTATATTTGAATCAAGGGGGGAAAAAATGAAGCCATAAAAGCTTTTCTTTTCCTAATATCTAAATTCTCACTACATCAGTAATTTGAAGAAAGAAACGTAATTTTAAAATAAATGCTTTTCAAAATTTGCGTTTAGAATTTTCCATACACTTTGTCGAATTCAGAGAAAAAATACTAATATTTTTGTAGAAACTGGATTTTAGTTTAGATATCTTATCAGCAATAATACACTGTAACTAGACTTAGATTGGCAGCGATTTATCGCTAAGCCTAAAATAACGACTGAAGAAGGGTGTAAAAGACCTTTTATTTAAAACTAAATAAGAACGCAAACACATTACTTAAATTCAAATAAACTAGTAGCTAGGCTACACAATAAATTTAACGCAAAGTTGGTTCAAAACTTGACCGACATGCAATTCAGCAATTATACTGCAAGGCCGAAGACAAGAGCCCTTATAGAAACCTAGTAACACGGCCTCGAAGGGCAGAACACGCTTTGTCTTACAATACAATCTCAAAATCCTAACCTTAAATACATGCGAATTAATTTGTATTCTGGCGGGAAATGTATTAATATAAAAGGACCTCACAGGATCTTCGTTTTTAATTTTTGATGTTGCAACTTCTTTTATCGAAACATTTGTGCAGAGCATAAACATCTTTTTTTTTTTTTTTAAGGTACGATTTTTAATATTTTCTGATAGAAATTTTAACAGTTAGCGAATACTTTTGCTTTGATTTATGTTATTAAATTAATTTATTCCCATGCAATATAGTATTTTCCACATATTATATCTAATGTTCCGAAACAGAATATGTCTATTTATCCTCTGATAAAACGTTAAAAACGTGGAAATAGAAGAAATGACTTGTAATGGAAAGGCCGAGAAGGTAAGAGGCATACATGCATAAAATAAAGATTCTGGTCTTTATGAAGGCCTTATATAGAATTTATTAGCATGTCAAAAACTTATTCTCTTTTATGGTTAGCTATAAACTAATTAAATGCACAAGTCCGATAATAGGCTAATAAAATTTATTCTTATCAAAAGAAATAAATCAGAACTCTGGAATTTTCCTCAAAGATATTCCTACAAGTGTTCACAATATCACGCAGTATAATCGGTAGTTGCACTTCAAACTACTAAAAACGTTGAATACAAAAGCGATGTAAAGTGCATCTAAAGAGTAAGCTAAAGCTGATATCTCAGTTCACGCGGAACTAAACAACTCGCAACAATAGTAACTAAGCAACTGAGCTCAGATGCTCTCTCTCCGGCTTTTATAGCTTTCAACCAGTCCCAAAATATTTCTAGTCATTTTTGCTTCTGGAGATTTCTGGAAAGCAATAAGAGGATGGAATTACGGCTACAGCTAATATAGTAGTCAATAACATTTATTCATTTTCAATACAATTTACCGAGATCTCTATTACTTCCTTGTACGAAGTAAAAAGGAAGTATTGTAATCGCGAAATGTTTCAGGCAGCATATTTCAACGAAAATATCCATTTTGACCGCTATCGAATGCAATTTAACGATGTTTTTGCGTCATATCTGTACGTAAGGACAGAATAAAATACTCTCTTCCTTCAAAAAAATTATAAAACTGCTTTAAAATCAATTCTGAAGAGAATTTTTCGTGGCGTCTGTACGAACGTATGTACGTACGTACGTTCGTGCATACGTACGTACCTCGCATAACTCAAAAACGAGTAGCCTCAGAACGTCGAAATTTTGTATATAGGACTGCTATAACATGTAGATGTGCACCTCGTATTTTGGTTGCAATCGGCCGCACCAAACGTATATAAATATATTTATATATATATATCCACTCTGTACCCGGCTCAGTGATCTCAGTTTCTTTACTCTTATATGTTTGTAAATTGTACATTTTTTTTCTTTAAAAATGATTGAAATATATTGTTTTTATCTTCCGGTTAAGGATTTTATGCCTTTAGTAAATCTGCGTGCAATATTTTTAGAATTATCAGCAATTTTAAAGTTGTTTAATTGCCGCTAAGCCTTTTTTTAATGGCCTATTTTAATGGCGGCCATTGATGTTTACATTTGAAACAGGAGACTAGTGGATTTGTTGCCAATCTAGAGAAATTTAGCTTCGCAACAACAAAGATAACGCATTCATTTATTATTGCCAATTAAACCATGCTTAATTCTTTCTGGAATTTTTTCGAGGAAATAAGCGTTTGAGATTTACTTCGTAATTTGTAATATAGATATTTTGAGTTTTTATGTATTTTTGCCTTCTCGCGAAGTGAGAACTGAATTAATTAAATGAGAAATACTCAATCGTCTGTGAGAAACTGTTTCTGTTTTGTTTTGTTTGCTTAATTTCTTTTATACATAGTTCTAGCTTTATTATAGTATTTGAATAGAACATGTGGCAACGATTAGTTAATTCTTTAAATGTTATACATTTTGTGCATTCTGAGTTATAATATGAACGAAATATAATACTGTTAAGTAAACCTAGCGCCAAAGTGTCGCTATGGTAAACAAAGTGAATTTTAAAGAATGCATTTATTCTATTGTGGTTTATGCGCTGTCGGCGAAGTAGGTTTAACTCAATCTAATAAGTTGAAATAAAATGCAAGAAAAAATGCATATATTTAATATTCCGTACAAAGAAGTCATGTGGTGTACACATCAGATTTTTTACTCAATGTTAAATGCACGTGCCCCTGTATTTTTACTTTTCCGGCATAGCTTTCTCTTAAAACTTGTCTCGCGCTGCATAGCACGAGGAAATACAACAATTTAAATTATAATTCTACTAAAATTATGCATCTAAATACAACATTCATAACAGTAAATTGCTCATCACAATTATAATATTATCACAATTGTTATATCTTTAAAAAAAATCACTTATTTTGGAATTTTAATAGCCTTTTGAAACAAGTATTATTTTATAACATCAATGCCATACAAAATAGATTTCTAACATTCTACAATAGATCGAGTGCAAAATCTCTTAATTCCTTTTCTCGTATAAACTGCAGTTTGCTGCCAAAATGAATATATATCATGATATTATAATTATTAAGAAATTTTATAGTGGTATGCAGATTGCAAGGGCATCCTTTTAATTTTTTTTTTTCTGGTGGTAACCTACTTTTTAATATTTTGATTTTTCCTGTTTATACCATTTAACTTACAAAGACAACACAGATGAAGATGAATACAAAAGATGAAGCTTTTTTAAATTTCAAGTTCTTTTCGATATTGGTTTTAATATTATTCAAAGCAATAATTAAGTTTTATCATTTAGTTGCAGTAGGTTTTATTTAATCCTATGTTTTCTTTTTACAGTCAATCTTTTGATTTCTATTGGCTGTTGAGTGGGTTTATTCTATTGCTCAACCAGACAAAGAACATTTATTTCTTCAATATATGTAGAACTAGATTTTCTTCATTAATCCTTGAATAATTAATATAATATCTCTGTCAAAGTTATCCCGTTCAAATATAAATTATTTCTGTGTTTCAATACTTAAATTTCTTCCCGTTCTTCGAAAGTTTCTGTTCAAAGACTGTAAGCTGAATTTTCCAAATTGAAAGCGTTTTTCTAGCCTAATTGTATATTTATTACTGTAAAAATTTGTCTAATTTTTAGCAAAGGAGGCTCTCTATCCTTTTATCTATATATTATCATAACGCAGAAAATACAATGCTGCTAACAACTGATGGCAAATCTCAAACATAGAACGGTCTGGTTAAAAAGGAATTCTTATTAATGCTTGGAGCAAAGCTTATAGGAGAAAGAAGAAAAAATTCAAATTACTTTTGAGGAACTGAGTCTAAAACAACATCTGCGAGTTATAGTATAACCTCATATGTTTCTGTGATTCTTACTACTTGTAATAAAATAAAATGCAACGTACTTTCATAGTAAAATTCCTGACTTTTTGAGAAATATATTCTAAATGCATTCGTGTGCAAAACTGAGAGAATTTGGACATTATGTCGAATTTCTAGAAAACTAATGCACATATTTTTACTGAAATTTGGTATGAATATGTATTTATAACACAGAAAGAGATGTATCATTCAAAACTCATTTCATGTACGCATGATTATCCGTAAGGTTTATAATGCAGGGAGGTCGTAATATGGGGTATGACTCCCTCTCGCAACCCGAAGCAGTTGAATAGTCATGCTGGCAGTCGATCCCACTACTGCAACAAGGCAGTTTTCACCAAAGCTGAATGTTTAGTAAGCTGTATGCTGATGGTTCTCGGAGGGGTATGGCGAGATTAAATTGCCCTTCCAAGAGCGTCCCAAACATGCTGAATAGACTTAAGGGTTAGTATATCTGGTTGAACAATCCACGTGGCGAATATACTCACTTTCCAGGTAGTCGTCGACCAGCTGAACCCTATGTTGAAGAGTGTTATCGTTCATTAACAGGAACCAGAACCAACTGCGTCCATGAAAAGTCATAGAACTCTAAGATCTCCTCTCTGTACTTCATAGCAGTCAGGTAGCCTTTGTCAAACACATGCAGCGTAGTACGGCTGTCCAACGTAATGCCTGCTCAAAACCATTGCATCTCTATCACAGCATCTATAAAACACACAGTGCTCCACTGAAGTCTGGTCCAAGGCGCGTGTTGTTTGAACCATGCTAAACCCACGACCTTGTGTATTGTAGTGAGCAGGACGCAACAGAGAGTCTTCTGGCATACAGACCTATCTTATGACCTTATACGGTAGTTTTCGGGCAGCTGTAGATCATGAAACGTGGGTTCCGGTGGCCGCATGCGGCTCACGTAAGAACTGTAAAGCTGTAACAGTCGTGTGTCGCCACACTGAAAGTGCCAAATAACGATGCTCATTCATCGTTGTTAGATCTTGGTCGACCTTGTCCAGATCTCGATATGGATACAGTGTCCTATTCTTTCCCAAATTGCAGACGATACTGGGTGCTGCACTGATTTCTTTTGCCACCTGCGCTTGTGATTGGCTTTCCTCCAGTTTACCGACGATTCTGCATCCCACCTCATTCGCGGCTACTCATTTTGTAGAGCCATTAGGATTTTTTGCGAGGAAAAATTAGCAAACACCTTTGCCGGGAATCGAAAACACGGATCTCTGAAATACTGGCTCAGTGTGCTGGCACGCTAGGAAGGCGGGAGAAATACCTTAATATACTCCCCCTTCTAAAGAGCTATTGGGGTTTTTAGGAGACCGAATCGCCAAATCCTGGGTGAGGAGAATCATCATCCAGCACCCTTTTAGTTCGGGCGCCACTGTGGAGACATTAGGTTATTTGGAAAAGCCGGAGGGATGAAAAATTAGCAATCGCCTTCGCCGGGAATCGAATCACTGGTTGTGTTCTGTATGTCTGTTGAAGGTGCTGTTTCTGGCTTGCTGTAGCGCAGCCCGCAAAAAGGCCACAGGGCGACGTAAAGCCTGCCAGGAGAGTCGGGCTGCGTCCCTCATATCTCATATCTCTGAAATACCGGCCCAGTGTGCCGATCACTACACCACGAAGGCACGCTAGGAAGGCGGGAGAAATACCTTATAATTTGACCTGATAACTTATTAAATACCTGTATACACCGAGCTCTTGCGAGAAATACGGCAAATGTCGTGAAGACGTACGAGAACACAAATCGCCGAAAACTCCTCACGCTCTTATATTCCTTCCATAATTACAGCCTCGCAGACACGCTTGCGTATTCAGCTCCGAATATTTCCATAATTTTCCGGCGACATAATTAATACCCTTCATTCAAAACGTTTCGTAAAAAATAGACATAATTTGCAAATTGTTTTAATTTTGCAGTCGAGTGTATTAAATCAAATGCGTATAGCTTGTTAGTTTACTGGGTTAGAAAATGCCTTTAAATGAAAGATCTTTTATCGCGTATAAAAATTCTTGAAGAGCAACTCTTTTTATATCATAGAAAAGACAACTGAAGTATCATTATTTCCACTGATTTGGAAGGAAATAAAATTGCTGCTATATTGTGATTTTTAAATTAGCGTTTCATGAGTTTATCAGTTTCATCAGCTATAAGTTTTATCAGTTAAATAAGTTAATTTCCTTAAGTTATACTATACCTTTTTTTTTAGTTTGATTTATATGTATTACAGTTATTGAAACTTTAATTTCAGATTAAGGAACAGTCTGAAAAGAAATTTTCCGCCTTTAGTTACAGGCTTAAGTTTGAAACAGAAATTTTCTTGAAAAAAATATGCAATGGCAAATTTGGCTAAATAATTAGGAAGATTGTGCGCACTGAATTCTACACGAAGGAAAAATTTAATCATGAATCATGAATCATGAGATGAACTGAATCATAACAAAAACTTGAAGAAAATATCATTAGCAAACTTGAAAATTTTTAAAATTAAATACATCAAAATTAACTGAAAGGTTTAAAGAAAAAATAATATAAATAAATTTGTTAAAATCTGCATCAGGCTAATTACTGAAATATTACATTTATTATAAATGGAAGTAGATAAACGCTTACTTTAATACAGAGACGAAGAAGATGCCAGTGACAGCCTATTCAAAAACTTTTTTGCTGTGATTTGCCTGCATTCTTTTATAGCTGCAGTGTGAAAAATCACAGCTGTCTCTTTGCCTTCTAACACTGTTATCATCCTTTGCTTTTAATAATCCCTACTTTTGTTTTATAAATACATCTGTTCTTTTTCACTGGCAGTTCGGGTGAAAGATAAAAATGGGAGGGGGCGTACTTATTTTTGAAAGTATACATTTAATTGAAATTTTAAACATGAAGTGTACTTTTAAGTCCTGCAATAGAAAAGATCGATAAATATGTTTCTTAGATATCACTTAATTTAAGAATTATTTATTAAATAAAATACGCAATATATTTTTCATCTGAAGATAGCTGAGAACAGAAATGTTTGTTTTAAAAATACTTAGTCAAGAACCACGACTAAGCTCTTCGAATTCTTTCTTTCTTCCACTCTTTTTTCAGTTATGCATATTTTATTTAAGACGACTGATCATTTCCAGTAAATCAAATAACGAAATATCCACATAAATAAAAATCAGATTACATAGCAGTTTGCATAACCTATCATTATCTAAATAAGGAAGAAAAACATCTAGCTATCTATTTGATTTACTAGCATCCCATGGTTTAAGAGGCCGAAAACGAATAAAAAATTTTATTTAATTTGGAAACTTTAAAATTACCCAAAACGTTAGGAGTGGGAACAATATCAGACAAAAACTTTCCCCTACGGTGTTGCCATTGCTCGCTTTGAAATCGTTGAGTTTGTTAATCAAAAATCCGTTAAAGTTTTTCAAAATTTGAAAGAGATAATAAAGCAAATTCCCCATTTGGGCTTCCAGATGCCCATATTCGAGTGGAGACGTACGTTATTCAAAATTGGATCGCTCTAGGTACCGTTGTTTTATTATAATGTGAGAAACATACATAAATTTATGCAGATTCTTCATTACTTAATTTCTTTAAATACAATACAGGGCTCTAATATTTGGTGGCAATAATTTAAAAAGTGATTCGCCATTTATAGTGAATCGATGCAAAATGCCAAAACGAAATTAATAGTCCTTCTGAGCCAATTGCAACTTTGGGCTAAAAATGTGCTAGCAGGCGTGAGTCCAAGAGCAAGTGGTTAAACTTCAAGCTCAGCAAGATCATAAGAAACATTAACAAACATTCTGGTACAAAGTTAAAATCTGAATCCTTTCAGATTTCCTTTTTAATTACTCTTTTTGAGCTAATTTTAGGGCAAATTTGTGTCCAATTTTTAATTTGCTCATAATTGTTGCATTTTATATATTTAACCAGTTTATCGTATTTAATGTTTATGAAAAAATTCATGTCAGAATTTCAGAACTCGAGATGTATATTTTTACATTCCACTGGACCTCGGTGATTTCTCGCCAGCCTGGTGACGTTTTCAGACAATGGTGTGGTGTGGTGGTGTATTTAATTATGGCAAAGCACACTAGGGCTATCTGCCTAAGGGGAGGGATGCCTTTCGTGGAGGACTTTCTAAGGGAAACTGGCTCGTATACACGTTACACATGGGAAAAACCACGAAAACGCCCATGCAGCCAGACCGTTCGCGGGACTCGAACCTCGGACCGAACTACCAGTGTTCAGGGACTTTACCACTCGGCCGCTGGTGGGCCGTTTTCAGACAATGCATTTTCAAGATATTAGCATCAATTTTCACAGAAGGTTCTATAATGTTTTAGTAATCCATTTCCTTTTAGAAAGGTATAGTAGTAAACAGGAAATTTGAGTTAGTTTAGTCTTTAATGTTCAGTTCAATGTGCAGATATATTTGGTCAGCAACAATACAAATAATTTGACCACCAGTGGCTGAGCGGTAAAGTCGCTGAACAGTGGTACTTCGGTTCGGGGTTCGAATTCCGGCGTACCGGTTAGCCGTATCGATGTGATTCGTGATTTTCTTTATGTGTAATATGGATACAAGACAGTTCTCCTTCAAAGTCCTCCTTTGGCAAACAACATTTTGTGCGTTGCTGTAATAATAATAAAAAATTAGCATTCATGCAAATTAAAGGGTTTAGATTATAACATGAAATCATCTCCACACAATAATATTGCCTCCACTAACTTGAAATGTTATCAGGGCTGATTTTTCCATATTATTACACAGTCAGGTAACTAGTACAATTCAAAACCTCACCCATGAGAAAAGACTGTTCACTAATTCTCGAATCTTTGGATCCCACACGAAATTAAGATGTTTCATTTTGGTCTAAAATGAGACTCTTCGGCTTCCACTCTGAATATGTTGTAATGTGAGGCGAACAGTACATTCAGATCAGAAGAGAATGCTAAAGTGAAAGTTAAAATTAGTAAAGAATTTTTATTTGTCATAGATTTAGACAAAAAAACTCAATTGATTTCGAGGGCAAACATTTTTCAAAAAAATTATCCCAAAAGCTTCTTTCATTGACGAATTAGATTATTTTTAAGCTTTTCACTTTTACAAAGATAGTTTTACTAGTTTAATTAATGGCTTTAAGTCCAGTCCAGTTCTTCCTAACTCTTTTAAAATTCTTTAATTAATTGAATTTTTCAATTTTTGTTACTAATTTTGCCGACAGATGGCGCTATCTTCATGTTCGCTTTACTGCGGCATGGTATAAATAGGACAGTTACGCCTGCTGCTTTCCACCCAATTCACGACCAAATCCTAATTTCTGCACACAACTTCTTTGAAAATATGAGAAATTCTCCCTATGAAGCTATTAAATTGCTTACGGACCCTACTATTGAGCATGTAATGAAAAGACCTCGAACGATCCACCACGATTCTAAGTGCTGATACTGTATATATTGTAAAATTTTTTTATTTTACTATTACTCTTCAGTTACTATTCAAGAAAGATGAACTTTGCAAAGTTAGGAAAACGAAATGAATAATCCTTCTGAGCAAATTGCAACTTTGGGCTAAAAATGTGCTAGAGGCGTGAGTCCAAGAGCAAGTTGTTAAACTTCAAGCTCAGCAAGATCATAAGAAGCATTAACAAACCTTCTGGTACAAAGTTAAAATCTGAATCCTTTCAGATTTCCTTTTTAATTACTCTTTTTGAGCTTATTTTAGGCAAATTTGTGTCCAATTTTTAATTTGCTCATAATTGTTGCATTTTATATATTTAACCAGTTTATAGTATTTAATGTTTTACGAAAAAATTCATGTCAGAATTGCAGAATTTTAATCGATGAATTCTCATTTTACTACTTTTACCAAGATTTTTACTTTTACTTTTTTTTTTACTATTTTTGTATGTATGTGTTTTAAAATCAAAGTTGGGGTCAACACCAAGTGCTCTCCTCATTAGCCCTAGTGAGCCACATGACCTCATTTTCGCCTTTACAGTTTCCTATTCATTAATGATATATTGCAATTTAGATATTTTCAAGTGTTTAAAATAGTACTCTTAAATTCACAGATAGATGTTGCTTTTATATTTCGAACTTATTTATTCTAAAAACTAAAAAAACTTCTTTTTCGAATTTGACTCCTCGACTATCTTAATGCTGACGCTGACACATTTTCTGCTCTTCTAGACTCACCCAGAAGCTTAGACTTTCATTTTGCCTCTCGCCGCTATTGATATAATCACCCATGATATGCAATTTAGCAGAAGTTATTTTATGAGTTCTTTCATTTATTGATCTCGCCTTCAGGCGCGGTGTATTTTTAAATACACCTCTTAAATTTTTATGGTATAATGATAATATACTGGTAAGAGCTCCTAGTAGCTAAAGCCAGCAGTAAAGATATGATTCAAGATCCAAGCTGCTTTCCAGTCTTGCAAATTTCTTTGCTCTTGATGAAGAAAGATCCGTTTGCTCTCGAAATCGATAGTTTTTGTCTAAATCTATGCCAAAGTTGCTTCTTTACTAATTGTAAGCACATTCAGAGTGTAGCGGAACTGATATTTTATTAATATCAGTTGTAATGTTTGGACTAATCAAGTCTGGAAACTATTTTTCAGTTCAAGTATTTATTAATTGACAACTATCAGACACGGAATCTCAACCGTATGCTGACATCATTTATTTAGCCTGCTATAGCAATTGCTCTTAAAGTGCAAGCATAGCAATTACTCTGCTGAAACGCAGACATTTCGCCGATGTCCGTTTTACTGTTCCGAGTATTTAAATCACTCAAATTTAGCTAAATCGTGGGTTTTATCTATTCTTTCCGAAGCAATACATTTCAGAGGTTTTTTACAATCATCCAACAATCTTTCTTTAAACCTATATCGCCCTCTATATTCAGCAACGTAATATTAGTTAATCAGTATAAACTTATTTAGCAACGACCATGAATTGTCCGTTCAAGAATAAATCTAGGGCGGAGGTTCTCAATCTTTTTCTTACATCAAGCCCTTTTAAAGGGATAGTTTTTTCATTAATCCCTTACTTTTTTTCTCTATGACTTCACAGCAAATCATGACACAGATAAATGAACACAAATAATTTAAAGACAAAAATTATACTAAAAATAAAAACACGAGTTTTTTAAAAGTACTTATTAGTTTTGTTGTATTATTATTATTTTTGTATTATGATTATTAGTTTCCAAACGTAAACACCTTTTTTTTGTCAAAACAAAATCACAGATTCTAATTGCCCAAAAATTCGATTTTAATTAATGTGATAGCTATACTTGGTATATTTATGAAATTTTTTTTAAAATTTGATATGAAACTCTTCAATTATCCTGTTCAAAAATATTCAACCTGCATCTTGTGTTCTGTAATAAACTGGTGACTGCTTCTACTAAGTAATCAATAATGTTTGTTGGTTAAGAACTTTTATTTTGGAATATTCTCTCGGATGACCAAATTCTAAAACTTAGTGCACCGATTTGGTCTGAATAATAACTTGTGCTTGAATATCCTTTTTAAGTGCAATCAACTCTTATAGCATCCTATCAAGATCATACATATAGCAGTAGCTTTATGAGCCATGCCCAACATCTACAAATTTTCAATGTCTTGGAAAGGAACACTAAAATTTCTTTTAAATTTTGTAAGTGGCTTGTGTATAACAATATTATCTTCTAAGGAAATTTTGCATTTTTCATATTTTTTTGGCTGTGTTCCTT